ATTGCCTCGGTCCTTAAGATGTTTTTGGGGCTTGTCAAACGATGAAATATACAAACAGTTCACAACAAACATGCGTAACGTTTTACTAACCCCAAAAGACATCTGAATAATTAATGTGAGCGTTGCACAATACAGACAAGAAACACTACGTTATTAAAATTATTGTTTTGTGCCCTTAGATCTTTTGAAAGTTATTATTTATACAGTTTAATAGTTGAAACTTAATACTTCTGTTAAATTTCTACCGGTACATTCTATAGTTACTTTCTGAAGGGCTACACCGAAAATTTTTACTTATTTTTACTATAGTAAGATGATTATACTTTATTCCCAATTTTTAGGTTAAGTTCAATTTACATTACTGTATTGTTTGTCAGTATATTTTTATGCCACAGTGTTTTAGCAATTTATTTAATAATATACTACACTATTTGTATATATTATACTTAATTAATAATGTAATTTTTAAAAAAACAATAATGATTTTTGAAAGAAAATGTTTTATTTTAATCCTTAGAGAGTAATCTGGTAATAACTCAAACATTATTAACATGTTTTCAGACGGTTTGAATAAACAGTCTAGTTACCTTGTATTTTTCATGATGTCGTATTTGTCCATGCAGTTTAACAAATTACTTCAATAACACAAGAATTTAACGACATAAACCAGTAAATTACATAAGTATAAAAAGTAGTTGATGATTATTATTTTAATATTAAAAACGTAATTATATTCCAAAATATGACATAAAATATGAAAAATGTATGACGTAGTATAAATATTTATTATTAAATCCAGTTTTTTTATGTTTATTGAATGTTGCAATATTAATTATAAAAACTGTTATAACTCTAGTTACAACTACTACTATACACTCCAGTAATAAAAAAAGGTCATTCTTTGCTATACTGGAAAAAATAGACACTTACATTGATTAGAAACAAGAATAGATAAATCAAGTAATGTTACTTTTGAAGCCATAACAAATGGACTTTTAGGCTTTCACGCCATCTAGAATTAGCAACACCACAAAAGTTTTTTTTGGCTGGTTCGATGTGAGTTTCCTGCAAAAATATCTACAGAAATATGTGTTGCAGAAAAAAGCACCTGATGGTGTCATGATGGTGTCATGATGGGGTGACTGGGATTGCAGTATTGCAAGCTCAAAGACCACATTGCCTTCTTTGGAGGCGGCCATGCTTGAATGCAAGCCTATTGTAATCGTTTAATTACAACAAGTAAAGATCGTCCAAAGTATGATTTTCAAAGATATTATATCAAGTTTATTATTAAGTTAGTTTTGGAAGTACGATATCATCAACAAGTTAAGCTCAACACCACAATGAATGATAACACCATGTTGCGGTATCAACTTGAAGTGACGACTTTTATGAATAGCATTATAACACTATCTGAGACAGGGATCTCAGATGGTGCGTATTTAACCTGCATATGAAATTATATAATATCAACATAAAAATAATGAAAATATGTTACTATTGAAAAAATTGTATGCACATTAAAATACATTTATCCGAAATTTTATAAAACTTATAATTAAATCTTCAGTTATAACGTTGTCTAAGGAATATAAGAATATATTCCAGGTAAAGTGGTGTCAACATTTGCCTCACATACATAATATTAATGACGGGGGTACGGACATGAATATTCATGTATGTATACATGGTAATTTTTTTATATATTTATTTAAACCATTGCTTATACTTATACAAAGTCAAAGTCATCTTTATTGACACATAACGTTTTTTTCAAATGCTCTGGCACAGCCGACATTGTCAAACTATACTAAGATAAACTAGCTAATTGGTAAAAATAAATACATAGTAAAAAAAAAACAATTCACATAGATTTGTCTTCGAGAAACAGATCTATACTAAAATAATTATTTTCCAACAAAAACTAAACAATGTTTCCTTAAAAGATACTAATCCTATGATTGATTCGTTGAACCCAGGCAAATAGTAAACACATCTTTTACCCATATAAGAAGGTGTCCTCTCCACAAGATTTAATCTGTGTATAGGATATTGAAAATCTTTATTAAATCTAGTGTTATAATTGTGCCGATTATTTTCACTGAGGAGTTTTTCGAAATTTGATTTCACATACAATAAACATTTAAGAATATACAAATTAGGGACGGTTAGAATTTTTAGTTCTTTAAAAAGTTGTTTGCAAGAATGTTTTACGGGTTTGAAAACATTATTCTATGTATTACTTTTTTGAAGTTTAAAAAGTTGATACGAACCAGAGGTGACGCCCCAAAGCTTGAATTTTTCCATACTGTTCCATACTGTAAAATTGATGAAAATAAAGCGTGATAAATCATTAGTCTAGTGTTTAAATCATTTCTTAAGACCATTCAATTAATTATATTACCCTTAAACATTTAGCATTAACTGTTTTTACGTGTCCTCCTAATTTCATTCTCATACCTCCACAAAACCCTCTGAGATATCGCCGTAAAGTCCTCTCTTACAGTCCCACAAATCCCTCTCTTATATCCATTGAAAGTTACTTGGTATCCTATTTCACCGTCTAACATTCTCAAAAACTATTTATAGGCCTACATAACCCCACAAATATCTATCTTGTATATCTCCACAAGATCCGCTCTCATATCCTCATAACGCCCTCTCTTGTGTCTCCTGGATAATCATCATCGCACAAACCCAAGTAACTGTAGAACTATCAACTCTTTTCTCATATCGCCATAAAGTCCTCTCTTATATTCCCACAAGTCCCCCTCATATATCCTCACAAAACCCTCTCATTTATCCCCACATGCCCCTCTCTCATATCCTTATAAATTCCTCTCTTATATCCCCACATGCTCCTCTCTTATATCCTTATAAATTCCTCTCTTATATCCCCACATATCCCTCTCACATATCCTCACTATGCCCTCTCTTACAATGACCGTTATATCCTCTGAATGTTCTCTCTTATATCCCCACTAATTCCTCTCACATATCCTCGTAAATCCCTCTCTCATAGTGACCGTTATAGCCCCACAAGGACAAAAATCGGCACTTGGTAAATGGACGAATTTTTGAGAGAGGGCCACAAAAAACAACTGCTAAAATTTTATCTAACAATCCTCTCTCACTAGATTCTTTCTAACACTAAAAATGGCAGAGTTCCCACAAGTGACCATACAAACAAGTATCCCCGCAAAGCACCAGATGCTGGACAGAGAGAGAGAGAGAGAGAGAGAGAGAGAGAGATTTGATAAGGAATCTGAAAAGTAAACAAATAATCGTTTCTGGCGTTCGTTATATTGTACCCCCCTCCCCCCCCCCCCGTATTTGCACTCGTGACCACTTTTTGTTGCTTCCTTATCATTCATCCGTCCCAAAATATAATTCCTGTAATAGTTTGTTTGTAAAATTGAAATTATTATAAAAATATTTTATCTTTCGAGTGTAGTTTCATGGTTATTCTTATCAGATAGAATAATATCGTTGTCATATGTAATAGTTACTCCTTCGCGTTACGCAATTGCGTAAAAAACAGTTCCAGTATCTCGGACAAGATTCACGTATATTTCTCGAGATAAAGAAAATCCGTATAGTTCCCGGTCCGTGGAAACACTGTAAATACTAGGATAAAAAATATTGTATAAAGGAGAAGTTGCCTAAAATTTCAACTGAAGGTAAAAAAAATCAAAATAACTTAAAATATGAGATGATGAACGGGTAGGATCAAGATTCAACCAATTATAATTAATTAATATTCGACGATCCTTATTAGAGGTGCATCATATTTATTTGGAGTATGAACATGTTTAAACATTAACACGTAGTTAATCACTATCCCAACACAAATAGTAACAAGGAGTAAACGAAGATTACAGACCGCTGGGTTTTACCGCTACAAAGTAGGGTAGGGTGCCGTACTGGCTACACTACTCCACGATAGAACACACGATGAGACAGTCTCCGCATTGGTATTGCAGTTACGCTTATCGACACAGGCAGCAGCACCGGTTTGCTGTTTTCATACGTATAAAGTGCACGGGAAGCCATACCTGACTGGCTTATGGGAGAGCTGACTGGCTTTCGGGCGGGTGACTGCCACACCGAGTAAATTACCAGCGCACTGACTGCCAAACCGGGTGGGCACAAAAGTATATATATATGAATTTGAACGGATGGTGTTTTTGGCCTCTGGGGACCTCAAAACAAAAAAGTAAATCGGTCCCGGGTCTAGGTCTTACCATGAGACCTACGGTAATAGCTTATTCCCTATATGGGAAATTCGCTAAAAGAGGCAGAAGGTGCGACTATTTAATGTTTGAGACACTCAACGTCCAAAGTCATGTTGTTTGACTGGCCAGTACTATAATAAATTCTTTAGGGATGGACGAGTCCTGAAATTTCGGGAAATTTTACAGGATGGGATTACATTTGATTCGGGAATTTTTCGGGACGGGATTTGATCCGATCGTGGCGATTTTGCCGCTTCGCGAGTGACGATGACTCGTCGCTATCGCGAGAGATGTTCACGATAGTTCCGCGAACGCTGGAGGCCAAGTCCAGTCCATTAAGGATTTAAATGATAAATCCTCATTTAAAAAAATGTTCATATTGATTTACAAAATAGTCAGTCATGATTCTGTGTAAATATAGGCCTAGTTAATTGATTTTTTTTATTTATTTGTTAACATTTAATGACCAACATGGGACACATTTAAGTTATTCTAATGAGAAGAGTTCTTCTTTTTTTTGTGTCTCTCAGTACTTATTCATCGACATCCAACCAGACCGTGTTGCCCAAAACCACTTTTACTATCCTTAGTTTATTTACTTTGATTTGTTGTGTTGCGTGTTTGTCTTTTAGTGATTCATTATTAAATAATCAACTTTTTTTACTGGAGTATAATACCTTCTAACAAAACCATTATTTTTAACATGTTAATTTGTTTAAGTTGTTTGTCACTTCAATAGATTGTATAAGACATTCCATTGTTCAGGTGTGGAGTTGAAGGACTGGGTGCCCATTTGTCACGTGTCGTCAGACACCAAAGGACATTTTGTGTTCCCCTCTCTGTCTCCCGGCCAGTACTCCGTTGTTCCTCACTACCAGGGCACCACTCAGAACAACATCAAGTTTGACGTTCACCCTCAACAGCTAACTTTCCAAGTGAAACACAGCAGTCTTCAACTTACCACTGTCTTCCAGGTGCTTCATTCAGATTGATGTAGTTTTAGCAAATTTTACAGAATTTAAGAGATGCCAGTGGTGTTTTGGAGGGGTTAAACATTCTTAATACATCCCCATTTTTCAGTAGAGTTACTTTTTGGAAGAAAAATCACTAGGCTTCGTGATACCTTAACAGGTTCACTGTGCATGCCTCCGATCGAGACATTAGTCTTGGACATTGCAATGCGATTATATTTCGTCTAGCTATTTAGAAGGAAACACATATTGTGCCTTAACGTGCATGTTCTAGTGGGTTTTTAATTTCATTTTGGTGAAGTTTACCCCCAGTATTTATATTTTCTACAGGGCTTTATTTTCCCGTTTTTTGGCGTTGTTCAAGTTTGTGGAATAGCTGTAGCATTGTGGAAGGTGCTTAACCTCAAAATTGTGCTTTATCCCTTTTTTGGTATATATTTTTATTATATATCCGGGTACTTCTACCCTGATTTTCCCCTCCATTTGGCATATACTGAGGGCCGGCTTGCAGTAATTTTAGTGCTACTATCTATCTATCTCTCTACTATCTATTTATTGGGTTTTGTAAAAATACGTCCACAACGATTGGGACATGCTATAATATGCCTCTCCTATTGGATGAAACTAAATTAAAATATTTTCACACACTCATCCACACAGCGCATTAGCTGTCCGCGCTCCCTGCAGAGGCCGGCCATCACACAGCCCCAGTAAACGTGCTAATGAAGAAGGAACGAATACACAACTAACTTACCCAAGAAAAGAATTCCAGGCATTTGATAGCACATAAAATAAGCTCAATTAATTTGACATTTCGACCCTTCAAGGTCAACTTATTACTTCCTTTTGAAGGAGCACACTTAAAGGGGTGAAATGTCGAATTAATTGTGTTTTAAATTAATTGTTTTGTGCTATCTACTACCAGGAACTCTTTTCTTGGGTAAGTTAGTTCTTTATCCATTTGATTTATCTTACAACTTTGAAAACGCTTATAGTGATACTGATTTAGTTGTGGCCATTGATATCAAGGAAGGGTTGTTCTTACTGCTGCAGAAAAACAACAACTAATGTTGTTATGTTATAAAATGTGTTCAAATAAGTAGAAAAGAGAATTTAGAAACAACATTATTTTAGAAACAAGTAAAAGTAAAGAGTCTAGATTCTGAACTAATAAACTGAATATTTGACAGGTTAAGGGGTTCAGTGTAGATGGGAAAGTGTCGTGGAGTCCCAATGGACGTCCTTTAGAAGGTGCTTCTGTGCTGATTGATTCCAAGGTTGTAACTAAAACAGGAAAAGATGGAGTCTTCCGTCTGGATAGTATGACTCCTGGCATCTACAAACTTCATGTTCAGGCTCGTAAGTTGCTCATTTGTCAAAAAAATACTAAAAAAAATGGAGATCTGCTCAAGAATTTGAAGATGGAGCCAGGCATCCAACATATATATTGAAAGAATCAAAATTTTTTAGTAATATCTGTAAATTTATATTTATTTGTTTTGTAATTATCTATAAAAAAAATATTTTTGTTCGTTTCTATTTGAGCTTAATAGTTTATATTTTTTATTTTTTGTTAAAATATGCTAAAACCTTTGCTCCCATGTCCACTTTTTGCTTGAAGAGGAACGGCGCTCCGCTAGCTTCCAAGATCAGAGAAGACCCTGGTCTGTTTGTACAATTAATCAAGCAAGATCTATTTGTGGTGCATTCCAAAAATTGTTTAGACTTTTGTGATATGATAATGACAAGGTCCACAACCTTCCTTGTGTAATTTTTATAGTTTGCCTCTAAGTATAATAGGAGCCTAAGGCTCTGTACAGGAGGGTTTTCATTGTTTGTCAAACTGTTACATCAAGGTACATGTCAGGTTCCTAGAACTTCCCGAGTGGCAAGAAAGGAGAGTGAAAGTATTAAAATCAATATTTTCTAGCCTCTCAGCTGATCCTTAGTCTAAATCAATAAATTACCTTCATCAACCAGCAAAAATGTCAACTACCGTACTTGCTCGAGTGCGGGAATGTGCACTCCTCAACACCGTTTTTACTATGTGTTTGTTGTGTGTGGCATTTTTATGTTTTTTTTTTGTTTTAATATAGCCTTATGGCTGAACTTTAATGCCTGAACATGGCAAAGTGATGCTGAAACGGCAGTAACATTTGTTTTTGTTATACATTTTTGAAGATGGTTGACGAAGGTAATTTACTGTTTTAGAGTGAATGTATCTTATATATAGTCTATCAGCTTCAGGTTTTGTTATTTATTGGCCCTGATATGTTTCAATATTTTGAAAGAGGCTGGTTTTAACTGTGGCATTAAACGTCAACTGTTGCTAGAAACTATCTTATTTAAATGACTAAGGCCCGGTTCACACGAACGACATACCTAGCAGACTATGCTTGTACTAGGTAAGCACGACTGGGTAGCGGACCACAGGATCACACCGGTTCAGACGAACGACATGTCCACGGACTATGTGAAAACTGAAAATATCGATATTAATGCCACTCGGATCCATCACTGGCGAAGGAAGACAAAGAGAAGAAAGCGAGCTGCAGCGCGACTACCCGATCGCTTGTGTGAACGCTCCCAAAAGGCTACATGTACTGCTACGCAGTTCGACTGGGTAGTTGCCACGACGGACTGGGAAGCGGGGCCCGACTAGGTTTTGGGACATCAAGCTCGAACATGACTAGCTAGTCGTCGCCCTAGGCTCGTGTGAACGGCTCCATTTGATCTTGTGGTCTGCTACCCAGTCGTGCTTACCTAGTCCAAGCCTAGTCTGCTAGGCTTGTCGTTCGTGTGAACCGGGCCTAAGGATAAAAGTAACATGTGACTGAAATTCTATAGACTTTCCAACTACAATAAAAACACTTATTACTAAACTACTGGTACTCTACCATTTCTACTGTACCTTCACATCCTAGGATACTAGGTTCTTAATTAATTGAGCCCAGGATTGTTTTTCACATAATTTCAGGCTAGGCCTAGAGGTTGTGGCATTATCATATGGATAAAATTGATAAACGGGATAAGTCCCACGGTCTAACCACTAGACAAACTTGCTTCCCTCTAGTGTAGATTAACCATACACACCTACGTTAGCCTACACTTACTCTTTGTGCAGCGGATGTACAGTTTGAACAGCAACACGTGAAGGTGACACCCAACACGCCGCACCTAGGGGAGCTGGTGCCATCTGCGTACCGAGTGTGTGGTCAAGTGTCCGTTAGTCAGCCAGGCTCTTCATCAGCTGCGCGGGTGGTACACCTGGAGACGGAGGGAGAGCAGGTTGGCTACACTGCCACCACAGACAATGCAGGACTCTACTGCACGTTCCTACCTGTCGCTACCTACTCTGTCACACTGCCTGTCACTGACGACGAACGGACCAAGGGACTGCAGTGAGTTAAATTTCGTAGATAGATGTTAATGTTTTTCTAATCAGCTAGGCTATTGCTAGTTACCACAGGAACATAAGTGAAGGCAGTGCCGGATTTCCCTTAAGGCCCATGCCCATGGGCACAAGCCCCAAGGGGGTGCACGGCGAAGTGGAAAAAATTAATGGGACAAGCTATTATTTATGATTGGGTTGTTTTATTTTATTAAACTAGGTTTTAAATAAATGAAATAAGTTAACTAGAATTGTTTTCAGTAGGGATGGACATTTTCGAGGATGGCTTCGAAAATGTCAATCTCTTGACTCTAGGTATAAATTTGTTTATGAACCAGTCAATGAAAATGTATGAATCCATCCACTCTGAATTCTGGGCACGACAAACCACAGCAAGAGAATAAACATTGATGTTCTAAAATGCTCAAGGTTTATGGGATTTACCGATGATCAAAAGTGGAAGTTTATGCTCCCCAGATGTAGTGGAACACAACACAGGGCAACTGTTGCACGCTCTTTGTTTGACTTAAAACCTGGAGCTCAACTCAAATCTTCAACAGAGATCGCTTTAAGTTTTTGTTCCACTATCACCACGTTACGTTTACATTTTGACGCATTCATTATTTCATTAAAAATATTGTAGTGTACAACACAATATAAATCACTTGATGAAAAAACACAAAAATTATACAGTACTGTACTATTTGCACTGAAAATAATCGTCTAACTGTTTACAAGTTGGATCTACTAGCTCAACTGAGTAGAGAACCCGATAAAAATGTATTGGAACAGGAAACAGATAAACCGTGAGAACGCTCAAACCATGGAGATTTTGTGTACAGCCGTGGGAAATAATTTTGATATCAATTCCGGGAAGTGACCGGATAAACCAAGGACCAGAAATTCAGAAATTCTGAGGCCGGATATGAGGGGTTCTATTGTAAATAAATTTTTCCAAGTTTGATAATAATACATCCATAAACAAGCAAACTACTATACAACAGTTTACAATATTCTCCATAAGAATAACATGGGAAATTTTATATTTACAATATTTTGAATTTTCTTCGTAACCAATAAGCATACAAGAAACCTTAACATACTAACTTTAACATACTAAATGATTTGTTTTTCCAGCTCTTCAAATTGGTCTTGAGAGAAATTGGGAAAATTTTTGTTTTGAGGATCAAAAATGAGAAAACCCAATTTTGACCCCATAAAACCCCATTCCCATGGTCCAAATTTATCATGCTTTAAGCGAAATTTAATCAAAATAGAAAAAAAATTACTCAAGTTATTGTGTTAATAGACACATATATTTATATATGTCAGCAACACAACATATGTTACATATGTTTATGTATGTCATATGTTATAGATATGTATATACTATAATTTTCCCGATTTAGATGATTTTTCATACATAAACGGATGGTGTTTTGGCTTCTGGGGTCATCAAAATTAAAAAGTAAATCGGTCCCGGGCCTAGGTCTTACCATGAGACCTACTCTAATATCTACTTCCCTATAGTGAAATCCGCTAAAACAAATCAGGGCTTATTAGTGATGACAGATAGTGTAATAAGTTTTTGAAAACTCAAGATTGTTACGCAAATTGTCCTTAGAAAACGTGAAAATGCCAATAGTGTAAAACAACACACTAAAGAAAACAAGGTAGGTAATTAAATAAAATAACAATTTATTTGCCGTGAGCCACTAGGCTATATCTTGTAAACACATGTTCTTATTATCCCTGGTCAGGTTCGCCCCTCTCAAGAGGACTGTGAGGGTAGTGGATGGTCCAGTGACAGGGGTAGACTTCTCGCAACTACAAGCTACAGTGAGAGGTGCTATCAAATGTCTCACTTCCCCTTGCCCTGACATCACTGTTACACTACAGTCTGGGCCAGACTCCACCACTGCTGTGGCCAAAGGTACACAATAGTGTGGTTGGTTATGTTTGGCTGTGTACATACAACACCTGTGGTTTGATTTTGATGAAATTTGGTATGCGGTTACTGGTTATATGGTATCTCCAGGCCGTTTTTTAAATTTTTTTTGGATATTTGGCTTTATAATGGTGATTTTCCATTCCCGTAAAAACTCCCAAAAAAACTAAAAGAAAAACAGATTTTCCCAAAAATTGCTCGGACAATTTTGATTGAAATTTAGTATTTTACGGTCCTTTAACTCTAAACAAACCCATACTACCCCTCATGCTGTTAAAATTACAGTTTACAAGTTATTGCAACTTTTGGGATTTTTCTCACAAATATAGTTACTCCCACCGCTTGCCAATGATAAGAGCTGTTGACAAGCTAATGGGAGGAAGCATGACATTTCATCTACTGCAAACAGTTAGATCTTGAACTAATGCATGTGGTATTGTCGTCTTTTGATCTCTTTTGTCATTATTTGTCATGTTTATGACAGGAGGTGTGTACGTGTTTGACAATGTGTTGCCCGGAGAATACACAGTCTCTGTGCCGTCACAAGACTGGTGCTGGGAGAGAGAGGAGATCTCACTGTCTGTGTCTACGGAGAAAGTCATTGGACCTACGTTTGTACAGACTGGACTGCCTATACACTTTGTCTCATCTCACTTCACAAAGGTTAGCCTTAGGTATCACAGGGGAGGTGTAAACAACTCACTAAAAGCGTAAGCTATAATTGTGGACACTTTTATCATTGGATCATCGGCTGTAGCTTCAATTTCAGAAGATTTATTAAAAATAATAAGAATAAGTTACATTACAGAAGAAAATTAATTTCAAGGAACGCGACTAGTCACAATGTGTATTCAAACACCTTCAATTATTTCTACTTTTGGAGCCACTGAATCACATATTTTTGGATCTTCTAGAATTGGAATTTCAATTTCAATTTGTATCAAACATTCTCATGCATGAGCAAAACAGTTGGTAACATAGTATGTGGCTGTGCCTTAAACATGTTGTTCTTTGTGTTAGTTATTCAGCATTAATCACTGTAGTAGTTCATTCATTTACCTACATTGTAACACCATTCACTATTATCATCTTCACTGCAGGTACATTACAAGCTGGAGGGGGATGTGAACGGGACATCACAGGTGATGGAAGTTCCTGCGGGTGAGAGTCGGGTGTGTGTCCCAAGCACGGGTGTGTGGGTGCTGGAGCCAGTCGGGTGTCACGGGTATGCGGGTACAGTTATCCGTTGGACGGGTGGTACTATATCACTCACTGCACTCACACATCTATACACAGGACGGGTCACATCATTGGAGACTGTTAGTGACCTTATAGTCAACGTCATTCCCTCTGAAGACAACGCAAGCCCTTCTAGGTACGATGAGATGAAGAAGTTGGAATAGAGTATCTTAAGTGTATTAAGTCACAAAACCTAACCTAACCTTTGTGTATCAGTGTGTCGTGTGTGCAAGCTAAATCCACTACTCCCATTTCTCAAGTATGCTGGAGGTGCAGAGAACATTGTGTGTACATTTTGTTATGTACTTTCTATACCCAAGAACACACCTTGATGAAATTTATAATCTAAACTATGTATGTAAGACAAAGCATGAGGACCTTAGTTTTAAGGATTTTCACTAGGTAGGCTTACCTAAATAAGAAAGACTCCTTTCTGGCACTAGGAACACAAAAACCTGAAGGACACAACAACACAAGGACCTGAAGACGTCCCTCCTCCCAACTAAAACCTTCCTTGGTTGAAAATGCCGTTGGTGACAGTCAAATTTTCCAATTTTTGTGTTTATGTCAAAGTGTTTGTGTTTTTTGTTTATAGTGGACTCTTTCCCATTCATTAAGCTATAAATATCCTCATAATCTAAACTAACTGTGCATTGTGTCTGCAAACCAAGATTATTGCGCATTATGTGTTAACCTGGAATCAGAAAAATTAGGTTAAGTGTATATAAAAATACATTTTTATTCATTAGCTCCAGTAATTCAACCATAAGTATTTGTCCAATACATCCCAAAAACATTTTTGCAGAAATTGTGTTTATTTTTTAATTGCTGTTTTATTTGTTGTCTGTCACACCGTGACCTGAAGCTGAAGAAATGAAATACACTGTTTCTACATACAACCCTAACCTCACTTATTTTTCAGTGTTCGCAAGCTAGGCCCTATCACTGCTACGCCTCAGTCTGGTGCCCCTGGGGTAGACTATGTGTTCAGTCTTCCTCTAGCCCCTGGGGAGTCTGTCACTCTCGTACCCTCCGCCAGCTCTCTGCTGTTCACCCCTTTGAGTGCAGTAGTGGTGGGAGCCAACGACTGTGTACAGGGTGTCGTCTTCAAGGCTGAAAGAGGCCAGGTGAGTCACAACAGCCGATGTTTGTGTTTGAAACTTCAATCTAAAATTTTTGCTTTGAATTGTTAGTGACAAAGGTATTTTTGTTTTGAATACATAAAAAAATCGTAATTTGGTTTCAATGTTGACAATGTTGAGAAATAACTACTTATTTGAAACACAACTTCTAAGCGAGCAGTTTGTTGTGAGAGTAGATATGAGATAGCACACTATCATTGTGAGATAGAATAGCAGGTCAGTAATGTATGGTATACAATACATCAAACATACAGGTAGTGGAGGGGAGAGTGCTGGGAGGAGGACAGCCTGTGATTGGAGCCTCAGTAACAATCTACAACACAGCTGGTGAGCTGGTCGGCACACAGATCACTGATAACGAGGGACGTTATATCTTCGGACCTCTCAGTGCAAACACCAAGTACAAGTAAGAATGATGAGTTGTTTGTTTTACCTTCGTTACTGAAGTGAAAGGTAAAACTCACACCACAGTTAAACATAGATACTTTATTAGCCAAGATCCCAAAAGTAAATCTTCAAGCTTAAAACAACAATACAATAAAAACAAACATCAAATATGCAACATATGATAGCAATTATAAAAATACCAAACAGCACATCTTCTCTTTTCTCTTTTTTTTTAGTTTATTTGTAAAAATCTGAATCACTGTATCTAAGAGGTGGTTTTATACTTCTTTTAGGTCTGTCATTTTCATTGCTATTGTAATTATGTCCAGCATCAGTTTCAGTTCCTTGGTCTTCTTGGTATTGGTGTTCAAATCTATTTCCACCATTTTCAATAGGCCTATGCACAGCTATTATATGTCTCCTGTTCCTTCTGATCTTCCTTGCCTGTGTATTTATCAGGTAGGACCGAGGATGATTTGATTTATTCTCAACATGTCCATAACGTTTTAAATCTGGAATCCAAACTTTGTCATTTTGATCAAGCTGTGAGAGATCTCTTACACCTTTCCTTACATCGTAGTTTCTCTTATTTCTTTCCTTGATTGAAAAATCCTTCTCTTTAAACTTTTGCAATCTTTCCCTTGTTACCTGTCTGAAGTTATTTATTGACGGTAATGTTGATCGGAGCTTCCGTGAATAAAGTAACTCTGCAGGTGAAAGACCAGACTCTAAGGGTGTATTTCTATATTCTAACAATCCAAGATTTGGATCACTACATTTCGTTAGAATCCGCTTCGCTATGTCAACTGCTTTTTCTGCTTCTCCGTTTGATTGTGGATACCTTGGGCTTGATGTCACTATACGGAAACCATATTCTTCAGCAAAATTTTTAAAATCCTTAGAAGTAAATTGCGGACCTCCATCAGCTCTTACCACATATGGTACTCCATGTCGAGCAAATATATTTTTCAATCTAGCAACCACAGCTCCAGTAGTCAATGCATCCACATAAACCAGTTCAAGAAATCTAGAATAGTAATCTTGCACAACTAAATACCATTTTGCATTACATTTCAAAAGGTCAATACCTAAAGACTCCCAGGGATTTTTTGGTAGTTCAGTCAACAGTACTGGTTCTGATTTGTTACTTCTTTGCTCCAAGCAAACTGGACAATTTGTTACAAGTGTAGCAATATCTGTTGAGCAGCCAGGCCACCACACCGATTCATACACTCGCCTTCGACATTTGACAATTCCCATGTGACCTTCATGTATTTTACTCAGTATTTCCTTTCTCAACGATTTTGGAATAAACAGTCTTGTGCCTAAAAGGAGGAATCCTTTACTGATGTTTAGATCAGTCCTGTACTTCCAATACACCGAATTTTTATTCCAATTGTTATTCACAATCCAGGATTTAATTCTTCCGCATTCCTCATCAGTATCCTGAGCTTCTTTGATTTCCTTGAGCCTTTTGTCAGAACAAGGAATAGCATCTAAAATACTCTGAACAAACAAATCTTGTTCCAATATGTCTTCATGTTCTTCATTTGACTTAATGGGGTTCCTAGACAAAACATCTGGTACATAAAATTCCTTTCCTTTCACATATGTTACTTTATATCTAAAACAAGCCATTCTCATTCTTAACCGCTGAAGTCTTGCCGATAAACTAGCGATTTGTTTACTTCCAAGCACCTGAACTAAAGGTTTATGGTCAGTCATAAGTTCAAACTCGGTTCCTAAAACATACTGTGAAAATCTCTCACATGCCCAAGTCAGTGCCAGTGCCTCCTTTTCTATCTGAGCATAACGCATCTCTGTCGGTGATAAAGATCTCGATGCATAGGTGATTGGTTTCCACTTTCCATCCACAAATTGTTCAATCACCCCTCCTAGGCCAAATGACGAGGCATCAGCTGCAACTCTGGTTTTACGATTTTTGTTGTAAGACACCAGAACTGGATTTGAAGAAATTAGGGATTTAATTTTATCCCAAGCACTCTTTTGAACGTCAGACCAAACCCACTGATAACCTTTCTTAAGTAAAATTCGCAATGGAGCTGTAACTTCAGCCAAGTTAGGAATAAACTTCATCAAATAATTAACCATGCCAAGAAATTGCCGAAGCTTGTTAACATTATTTGGGGTTTGCATTTTCATAATGGCCTCCACTTTCTCAGGATCAGGCTTTATCAATCCATTTTCAATCAAATGTCCTAGAAATTTAACTCTGTTCACATTAATGTTACATTTATCTTTATTAAGTGTAACATTGTGTTCTCTCAATCTTTGTAATACATTTGCTAGTCGATGGTCATGTTCTTCCTGTGTTCTACCGACCACAAGTATATCATCTGCTTGGTTTACTACCCCATCCAGTCCATCCAAAACTTGGTATATCCTCTTCTGGTAAACCTCTGGGCCAGAATTAATACCGAATGGTAACCTCTTGAAAAAGAATCGCCCAAAAGGAGTTATAAAAGTCGTAAGCTTGTAACTTTCATGATGTAAGGGAACTTGAAGAAATCCATTTGTAGCGTCTAGTAATGAAAATATTTGTCCGCCTTCTAATTTACTTAGACTTTCTTCCACAGTTGGTAGTTGCCACCTTTCTCTCTGAATGCTTTTGTTGAGTTCGGTATAATCAACACATAGCCTCACTCTATCACCTGTCTTACGCGGTACAACAACAATTGGTGCACACCAGTCTGTTGGTTCTACCACTGGCTCAATTATTCCCTCAGAATGCAGTCGATCCAATTCTTCTTTGACTTTGCTCAATAATGGAGCGGACACTCTACGAGGGGCTGCCACAGCAAAGGGACGAGCATTTTGTGTTAGTGCAATTCTGTAGTTTTCCCCTTTCATTTCACCAATAGAACCAAAAACATCAGAAAACTGAGAAAATATTTGGTTAGAGAAAATCGAATCTATGTTGAACTGAATTAGGTTTAATTTCAACATTGCATTTCTACTTAAAAGTGGAGTAGGTTGTTGCTCAATGACGTAAATATCTTCTACAATAGATTTATTTCTAAAAACCAAAGTAGCAACGATCTTACCAACCACTTTCAACCTAGTTTTCCCCGGACCAAATAATATTTTACTTGTTTCACTCGTTTCCAGTTTTAATTCCTTGCAAAGATCATATCCAATTATAGAAACATCTGCTCCAGTGTCTAACTTAAAATAAATATCATGCCCCTTGACATTAAGTTTTACTTTACAAGGATTTTGTCCTCCAACCTCTTCTATGGTCAATTCCCCTAAATAGGTTTTAGGTTTTTCTAATGGTTCATTACTTTTATTAATTTCTCTCACTTCAAATCCTTTGGTACAACATCTCACATAGTGTCCCTTTATTCCACATCTGAAACATGTAGACTGATTGGCAGGACAATCATTGCTATTGTGATGACCAACAAATCCACATTTGTTACATTTACCTTTCTTTGAAAAGCTTTGATCTTGACTTTTATTGCAAGAACTGTCCCTAAACCGATGTTTAGTGGATTGATTAATCCCCTTATTGACAAACTCAATTTCTGGTGATTCCCTCACTACTTTTTGTTGTTGTTTTAAACTCTCTGCTTGTCTTGCTTTCAAAATTGCTGTACTTAAAGTTAATTTTTCATCCAACTGTAAATTTTGAGAAAGTTTATCATCATTTACCCTAATTACTATCAAATCTCTAATTAGTTCATCTTTTAATTCCCCAAGTTTACATCGCTCTGCCAGTTTGTGTAAACTATTTATAAAAGAATCAACAGGTTCCCCCTCAGACTGACGTCTTTTTAGAAATTTAGCTCTCTCATATACAATATTGATTTTGAAACCTAAGTAAGACTCAAATCTACCCTTGACAGTGTCATAACTCTGTAATTCTTCATCTTTTAATCCGAAAGATGTTAGAAGGTCTTCTCCTTCATCTCCTAGACAGTATAAAAGCATATTAACCTGATTTTCCCCACTCTTACTGTCTAATCCTGAAGCTAATCTAAACCTTTCAAATTTTCTTATCCATCTAGGCCATTCAGAAGGTTCCCTGAAATTGAAAGGTTCAGGTTTGACAAGTTGGTATTGAACTGTACTAATTGTACTACTCACTGCTTCAGCCATGCTTAGTTCTTTCTTCTCCACAAAAGTTTATTTAACCTGACACCATGAAGTGAAAGGTAAAACTCACACCACAGTTAAACATAGATACTTTATTAGCCAAGATCCCAAAAGTAAATCTTCAAGCTTAAAACAACAATACAATAAAAACAAACATCAAATATGCAACATATGATAGCAATTATAAAAATACCAAACAGCACAGTTACTTTAAAGGCATGGTTCTAATGTGCAAATGTCTAAATGCCATAAGGCTAGTAGAATACCTAAAGTAGGCTAGAACATAAAACCAGTTAATATATGCCGCTCATCGGTGACATTTGATCACATTGATGGATTTAAGGTATTTTAACCTCTAGATTAATTTAAAACCAGTGCTTTAATTTGCAATAAAATAGTTTTAGCAGTTTCAATATGTAAAATTGTAATATCTGTTGAGTTAGTTTTCAAGAGCGGTGGTGATCGAAAAACTATTAAAACGAGAAACGTCTATTATGTATCCAAGCGCCACTTTACAAGGTCCAAAAATAAAAAGATTATTTATTTAAAAGGTTTATCTAAAATAATAAAATAAGTTGAGATAAAAACAACAATTTTTTTATTCCAGCTTCCATGTATTTCTAACTCCATTCTTATCCCCAAAAAAGCTTAGGTCCAAGCTACAGGGTTGGAATAGTAGGTATCAGAGTTTTTCTGATATTGTGTATTGTTTGCTCGTCCAGTGTGACTGCGGAGAAGGAGGGATATGTGATGAGTGGACCCAACAACAAGGGAGAGTTCAGTGCTCACAAGCTGGCCGAGATCATTGTCACAGTCAGGGACAAAGCTGATGGGAGTCCTCTTCAGGTAATGGGAAAAATATGGAATTCCTCAAGTACCCAAAACACTGTCCATACCTCACATTTGTTGTTGAAAAATTACTGGTAGTTTATTTGTTTTTGGAGAAATAGCCGTTTGGCTTAGGAATACATTAAAGAAGAAAGAATGGATACTTCACAAGATTATCCAAGAAGAAAGTTCTGGCAGTTGACAGCATGCAAAACGTTGATAGCATAATTAATTTCATATTTAATCCCTACAAGAGGGGCTTGGAAAGAAATATCTTCACATCTTCAGAAGTTATCTTGGCTACTTTTTGTATGCTGCCAACTACCGTAATTCTTTTAAAGAAACAAGGTTTAACATTTTTTCTTTCAAACCTTTTCTTTGTGATTAAGAAAGTGGTTAGTCACTGTAAAATATTTCAATTTTTGTGAGTGTTGTGTTTCCTGTTGAGGGGACTCCCCACTGTTCAGGTTTTAGCCTGTTTTTCCTATCAAACACAAAATCAATCTTATTCTGGCCTAGAACACATTACCAAGAAAACCTAACCTCAAACATTAAGATTGGTGATAAGTAGGCTAACTTTTGAATTCTAGGTCATTTGTAAAATTAAAATTGTAGTCTGAGTTTAAGTGTGTGGTAAATATAATATATGAAAATTAAATTAAGACAATCTAGATCTATAAAATATTATATCTATTTATTCTCTATCAGTATTTTTTCTATAGTTATAACTCCATCCTAAAAGTACAATATCATCAATTGCTGTAAAAAAATAAAATAACTAATTTAAGAAGTGTTCTTAACATACCTGTTTTCAGCATTATAAATGCTCTCAAGTGGGAAACCTCAATTCTCCATGTTGTAACCTGACAGTTTGTTTCCTATAGTTATGTATGTTACTGCCAGGGTGTGCTGCTCTCTCTCTCCGGAGGTGAGAACTATCGCCGCAACAGTCAGACCAGTGAGGACGGGACAATGGCGTTCCTCTCCCTCTCCCCTGGCGAGTACTTCCTCCGACCCATGATGAAGGAGTACAAGTTTGATCCTCCGTCGAAGATGACAGCCATCAAAGAGGGAGTGACAGTCGAGGTTACGCTCAGGTTAGTGTTAAAAAATTCTGTGAGGTAAAAAAACGTAAATTAAATCGATTATGTTGAACACCTCTTGGTTTGGAAACAGTTTTGTTTCTTCAACACCAAATATATTTAGAGCATTTTATTTGTGGGAAGTTGATGCGTGCTCAGTTTTCTTTTTTGTTTTGATTTACAGTATATTATGTGGTAGAATTTAATTCAGTGGAAAAGTGAAGCTCTTATGCATCCGATATTATGAAGTTCTTTGTACACAAACTCGTATTCGGGATTTTTTGAGAGGATAGTAGGCTTACCTGAATGGGAAAGAGTCCAAACTGGCACAGGAAACAAAACAGCGTTCCCTGTGTTTCCTGTTCCAGTTTGGACTCTTTCCCATTCAGGTAAGCCTGCTATCCTCTCAAAAAAATCCTAAAATACTAGGCCTTTGTGCTCTATGTTACACCTCCATCCCCATGTTAAATTTGTAGCCAGATTTTTTATCAAAGTCGTCGTAGTTGATGTGAGCCACCCACAGATTGCTCTGATCTAAATTACTAAATTCTGTCAAATACACATACTTTTTTGCCAAGTCAAACTTAGGGAGTGACTTATGGTGAGCTATAGCAACTGTTACGACCCATCAAATTGGTCAGCAACCAAAAATAAGGTAGTTAAACCCTTAAACTCTTATTTGGTTAGAGCAAACATTTTAAGATTTTGTATGGAGTTGGAGATCGAGCCGATGAGTTCAACATTTCTACAGATCCATGAGATAGTACCCAGAATGCCGCTCCACAGGGCCAGCACCATAACACTTAATACCCAACTATCTTCAAATTCTTGAACCTCAAATGGTGAAAAAATTCATTATGTTTGATGGTGACTGTGTCTTTTCCAATAAACTATCTTGATAGCTCCGCTCAATTTTTAATGCGCTACTTTTTTATCCCCCTTTTTTAAGGGTGTTTTTTTCAACCCTAACTATACTCCATTGCACTTTCTCCGTACATTATTGAGTGTCCATAAGCCATTTTTGCAAATGACAGTTTCAGCAAAACTAGCAAACCCTAAAAATATCAGGACCCACCAGGTTTTTTCTCACTCTTTTTACAAACACATTTTACAATTAAATAAACCAGGCAAGACACAATGGATAAGTAGTAAGGAGAACAAAGTAACGTATAACGTAAGTGTGGTGTGTAGTGGTGAGAGAGTGGCGTACAGTGCGCTGGGCACTGTGACATCTCTCAGTGGTGACCCAGAGCCTGGCGTGGTGGTGGAGGCTGTAGGGCAAGGGTCACAACAGTGCAGCCAACTGCAAGAGGAGAGCTCCACTGAGACCAGCGGACAGTTCAGGATAAGAGGGCTCAACCCTCAGGTAGGTCAAAGTACATCAGCAGGTCACTCAGTTAAACTTTGACATTTACCAAAGACTAAACAGTAGATACTGTAGTGGGATTTTGACTCATTTTAGCGAATTTCCCTATAGGGAAGTAGCTATTACCGTAGGTGGCACGGTAAGACCTAGACTCGGGACCGATTTACTTTTTCATTTTGATGTCCCCAGAGGCCAAAAACACTATTCGTTCAAATTTTTATATATATATAGACTTATATATATATATATATATATACGTCCGTGAACGCAATAACTTGAGTAATTTTTGTCCGATTTTGATGAAATTTGGTTTAAAGGTGTAAAGCGGGATAAACTTGAATGAGTTCGCGAACCAGCATGATCGGTCCATGGGAACGGGGCTTTACGGGGGGTTTTATGGGGTAAAAATTGGTTTTTCTCACTTTTGACCCTCAAAACACAAAATTTCCCAATTTCTCTTTAGACCTTTTTAAAGAGCTTAAAAAAACAAATAATTTAGTATATAAAAGTATTTTTGTTTGATTATTAGTAACGGAGAAAATTAAAAAATTGTAAATTTAAAATTCCCATGTTATTCTAATGGAGAATATTGTCAAATGTTGTAGTTTGTTTGTTTATGAATATATTTTGATCAAACTTGGCAAATTTATTTATTTTGTACTAAGCTATCAATATTTTACTCAAAAACACACTTTATTAGTTTCCTTGTAGCAGCAAACCTAGGTAGCCTACTCGTTAAACCTAATGTTATTAAAATATATTTAACTGAAAATCAATTCAGACAAATGGAAATTCGCTTAGTCGGCAGGTTTGCTGCGGCGGGGGTATTAAGAGAAAAACACTTTCTAAAACGTTATTTAAAATACCTGAATGGGAAAGAGGATCTGGCACAAGAAACACTACACTTTATACTATACACACAAAACAATTTATAGGATATTTTACTGTTACTGACAGCAATTTTAACTAAGGAAGGTATTAAAGAGAGACCTAAAGACAAGACCAATGAAGCTAATGTTTATTCAAGCCCCATTAGGGCTGAAGACACTTCAATTTTCTAAAGAGTGAAAATATTTTATAGTTGTGTGTTTCTTGAGCCAGTTTGGACTCTTTCCCATTCAGGTAAGCCTGCTTCTATCCTCAAAGATAATCCTAAAATACTTGACTCTTATGCTGTACATCTTTAAAAAAAATTAAAGTTTGGGTAGCCTAGTGGTCATAGTGCTCGCCTTTAAATATGAAGATTGCTGGTTCTATCCAAGCAGGGTTATTTCTCATTTCTAGACCTAGAGGCCATTTGTCACCAGGTTATAAACTAATGATGCTTTCTAACAAAAGTTAAACTTTAGAGAGTTATAAGACTATGGTTTGGACCGATCTCCTACAGAAACACAAAAAAATTTTAAAGGCATTGACTCATTCAAAATAAACAAGCATACCCATATTGTTGTCCTCATGTAACCGCTGTCAACCAAATCACAAAAATAAAATACATTTATGTGCAAAAGTAGGTTCAAGCTTGAATTATTGTTGACATGATTTTATTTTAAAATAGTTATTATGAGTTAAAATTGGGAGCAATATTTTGTTTTGCAGTGTGAGTACTCGGTAAGGGTAAAGCAAGGACCACAAGTGAACCAACACATACAGCGAGCCACTCCGGACGGCATCCTGGTGAAGGTACGTCTTGTTTTCTTCTGTGGTAGTGAAACGTGGTTAGAAAGTGGATTTTGGAACCATCCAGAGATTGATAATTGAGTCCCTCTAAAATTAAAATATATGTAAAATTGACAAACAAATTATATACGATCAGAATGAAATCAACCTGACTTAGTAGGGTATAAAGCTTTTAAAGACAAAGATATTATGGTACATTTTAAAATCTAAAAGTGATTTATTTTTTCAAAATTGCAGTGATTAATAATTTTTGCGGAAACTTAAAAATTGCTTCAAAAGAGATTTTCAATATTTTAGTTCTTTTCATCAAGGTATTTGTAAAACTTTATCCACCAAATTACAATACTCAGGGTGTCTAGTAGTCGGGAAAATCGGGAAAGTCGGGAATTAGTATTGAATTTCAAAATGGTCTCGAAAAGTCGGGTTTTAGTCTTAAATTTGATTTCAAAGTCAAGAATTTCATTATTTTGCCGCGTTCGTCGTCTGGCGTTTACGTAACAGCGAAAGCCAATGATGATGATGTCTACACGGCCTCGGGAAATGTTCACGATTTTGCCACGATAGTGGACGACGACGATGACGTTTCCGAAACCGCGGGAGACGACGATGACCTTTCCGTGACCGCTGGGGACGACAATTACGTTACCGTGACCACGTGAGACGACGATGACGTTTCCGTGGCCGATGTTTTTGCCGCGATCGCGGAGGACGACGATGACGTTTCTGTGACCGCGGTAGATGACGATGACGTTTCCGTGACCGCGGGAGACGACGATGATGTCTACACGGCCGCGGGAAATGTTCATGATTTTGCCATGATCGCGGACGACGACAATAACGTTTCCGTGACCGCGGGAGATGACGGTGATGTCTAAACAGCCGCGGGAAATGTTCATCATTTTGCCGCGATCCCGGACGACGACGATGACGTTTCTGTGAACGTGGGAGATGACGATGATGTTTCCGTGACCGCGGGAGATGACGATGACGTTTCCGTGACCGCGGGAGACGACGATGATGTCTACACGTCCGCGGGAAATTTTCATGATTTTGCCGCGATCCCGGACGACGACGATGACGTTTCTGTGAACGTGGGAGATGACGGTGGTGTCCAAACAGCTGCGGGAAATGTTCATGATTTTGCCGTGATCGCGGACGACGACGATCACGTTTCTGTAACCCCTGCAGTCAATGATGATGTCTAAATGTACGGTATGTGGAAGATTTCATGATAAAAAAAAACAAATTTGTTAGTTCGAATTTTTTATTGCTGCATTATTTCTTTACTTGAAAACACCACATTATCATAATACTACTTTATGACAAAGACGGGGGTTGGTGTAGTATTATTTAGAAAATTTGGTTAAGCTATAAAAATTGGTATTGGTATCAAGAATCGAGAATCTATACATTTTGGTATCAACACCCACTAATTGTTGAAAAAACTAGTCTTGAAAAATCTGGAATTCGTCTTGAAAAGTCTGGAATTAGTCTTGAATTTTATAATGGAAATAAACTAGACACCCTGAGTACTGCTTGTTATCAAAATGTGATCAATTTGATTTCTAGTCTTTCCGTCTGGCAATACCCATGTTTCTTTATGGATGTTTTTCCTAGGGAATGAAGTGCTTGCAATTGTAAAATTTGTGGCACACCAGGCTAATGGGCTTAGTTCCCTTGTTACTGTTACTATGCAAACTCTCTTTTTCACAATAGCCCTTCCACAATTAATTATGTATTCTCTCTCAACTCTCAACCAACTTTAGCATCTCCTAGTATAATATTTACATCATAGTTAGGTGTTTGACTCACTGACTGTTCTAATTGACCATAAAAATCTCCTTTCTCGTCATCACTCTTATCCTCAATTGCAACATAAATGTTTATCACGCATGGGTTTTTAAATTTTCCTTTTAATCTTACATAACACAGTACAATATTTTTATTCATGGCTATTCCCATTCCTGCTCGATGTATGCCATCATTTCTATCACTGTAGTGTAACGTAAATTTCCAGCGTTAATGATTCCATTAAATGGCCACCTATTTTCCTGCAGGGCTACCACATCCATTTTGTACTTTTCCAGTTCTCTGCTAATGATGTCCACAGCAACTGTCACAGCCAGAGAGCGAACGTTCCACCTTCAAATCTCAAGTCCTTATGACGCATCTAAGGTCGTTGTCCGATGTGTTCCATGCAGTCCGAGGCATTCTGTAGGTGATATTTAACCAGGGTTGTTTTACAAGGGAGGGTGGTTAGCCCGTCACCTCAACCCCCAATATGAATGGAGGACCTCACCTACTTCTGGTCAGCGGGTCCATTGGACCTAGCCGGGAGGACTGACAAGCAGATCCACCGACCTTCCCCCTATCCGCCACCCAGGGGACGCTCCGTATACGCTGAAGTAAAAAAACCCACGGATACTTTATTACAAGATACATAAAATACTAACACTAGGTACAAAAGATACTTAATACTAGATAGATACATTGCATACTTAACACTAACAAGTTGGTTCTAACTCATCTGTTCCATCTTCTGGACTTGTCCTTCAACGTCCACGGTGTTGTTGTAGAACTCTTCAGTTTCTTCCTCTTGAAGTTTCTCCTCAGATATTCAATCTCCTCATCCATGGTTGCTTTCATCTCCTACATTTCATCATGTTTCTCAAACATTTTTCCATGGCAAATCCTTTAGCATTTTACTCTAAACAATCCTTTCATGGTTTCAACTATGTGGATAGGTACTTTTTGTTTACTGAATCAATACAACATCAGGTCTCCGTGAAGTTCTATAACCTCCTACTTCCCCCCAGAAGTTGCTACTTGCTTGTTTACTATAGTGATCCTCTTCTAGTTCTTATCAGTAGTGACAAGAACGGAAGAATTCTGCCAATTTTTTAGTGATTTCTCATCTCCCAGACCTGCTCTACATAGTGACCCTCTGGAATGGAGCAAATATACTTAGCTTTCTTGAATCTGTATTCTTCCTCAAATAATTTTGACAGGAGGAAAAATTTCATCCTGCATTCATTTTCTGCATCAGGAAATTAATTAAATAAGTAGTTTCTATGGAAACATTAACATTGTCAGTAGGTCATTGTTCAAGATCCTTTATAACTAAGCCAAGCAGAAAGGTCTACTTGTTGTAAACTATAGGCTATAGGTTGTAGGGGATAAGCATCTAGACTGCCAGTGCAACTCCTAGGATCGGTAGGATCGTGGATCAGATCGAAAAACCCCCCACCACCGCTCAGTGCCGATGGCGTGACGTCAACCATTACTGCAACGATACGGAACTGAGTCATGAGCCTTTGTGGTGAAGTGAATAGCGTGTCGGGCTGATAATCTGAAGGTGCCGGGTTCGAATCCCACCGGGAGCACTAACTTTTTGTCAACAATTTTTTTCATATCAGCAAGTTTGGTTGGTTTGGTTAGGTTATGACAGTTTAATTTTATAATTAAAATTTGTAAAATTGAATTTGAGACATTTATAATTTTATTTTTAGAACAGAGCTATTTTTCGATTAGTAAACCTTCATTCGAGTTTATCATTATAAGCAAGTTTGGTTAGTTTGGTTAGGTTATGATAGTATAATTAGATTTAATTCAAATTTAATCTACAAATTATACTTGTTGACAGCGACAGTGATACAGATAACAATTTTCCGCGAACAGTTAGATAAGCTATGCTGATGCGCCGGTATGATTCGGAAGCGTACGACATGGTGCGGTGGTGGGGGGTGATCCACTGATCTGATCCACGATCCTGATCTGAGTCCGATCCTCGGACTTGCACTGGCAGTCTAGACGCTAGTTAGGCCTAAGGGGTTTTGTTACGATAGCATTTTTACCTAGGTGGGTCCACCATGGCTTAAGAAACACAAAAACATACAGTATTCCTTGAATGCTAAGACATCTCTCTTCCAAAATCAAACATCCTTTGGTTGAAAATACCATCAATCAGATAATAAAATTCTAATTTTGCCTGATGTGTAAATTTTTGGGATTTTTGTGGAGATAGTCGGCTAAACTGAATGGTAGAGTCCAAACTGGCACAAGAGACATAAAACACTATGTACACAAAACAATAGAATATATCACTGCCACTGACAGCATTTTCATCCTTAGTTGAGAATGCTGTCAGTGGCATTGAAATATTCTAAGTTTTGTGTACGTAGTGTAAAGTTTTGTGTCTCTTGTGCCAGGACTCTTTCCCATTCAGGTAAGCCTGCTATCCTCACAAACAAATCTTAAAATCCTATTGTGCTCTATGTTACATGGGCCTTAACCTCACAAATGTAAAGTTTTAGTGATTCTTGTGCACAGATGGACACTTTTACATTCGGGGTAAGCCTGTTATACAAAAATTATAGCAATTTATAGCACCAATCAAAATTTTAATGTTGGTTCCACTCCATACTAAATAACTAATTTTCACACTCCGTTTCGTTATGACATTTATTACTTCATCCTATTGCTTTATTTACTATTGACAAATTAAAAATCATTGAATACAGATGCTTATGTAGATACAGATGCAGATGACTAAACACGATGTTGTTTGTATGGATTTCCTAGTTTATTATTTAATCTACTGTACTTCATAAAATCATAAGTAACACTTTCAGTCTGAGTAAATTGAACTAAATAACAACCATATATTAATTATTTCCCTCCAGGTATCAAAGGAAGATGTCCATGGTCTGAACATGATAGTGTTCCGCCCAATATCTCGTACAGACGTGTCGGTGTATGTGACCACAGAGAGTGCTGAACATTTACGCAGCCTCAAGGTCAAGATGTTTAGAGACGACACGACGGTTCACACCATCAGACTGTCTTCGCTCAAACCTACAGCTTCGTTTGCGTTAACCTCTACAGCTCTGGTGTTCCCACCAGTACCTGCTGATGGTATGTGACTTTACGTAGAGTTTTCACTTAAATTAATTGCTACAATTTATCCTTAACCCTTGGACTCCTTTATGGCTCTCTTACCTTTGTTTATGGTCCAAATTTTGTTGGAGCAACAAAACGTTGCTGCATTGTTTTGTTGAGATTGAAACAGTGCAAAATTGTTTAAGCTTACATGTCAAAAAATAAGAATAATAACATTAAACATGACACAAAACAAACAAAGATAGTGCTATCATACTGAACGGTCTCAGCGGCAGCAGCAGACTGCAGGTAAGGAAGCCTATTGCGCCTTTATTACTATTTCAAAGGGGTTTTGTAACTGTCAGTTTTATCTTAACAGAAATTTATTGAAATAAATATCCTTGTTGATATGAGGTAACAACATTACAAAACAATCCCATTATCCTCCTTTTAGATCGAAGTAAATCTAGTTACAATAATTAGTTATATTAAAATGGTAAACACTGTCTTAATCTTAACAATCTTTGCACAGGTCGCACATACTCGATACAACTTGAGTCGACACTTTCACCAAAGACACACAACTACAAGACTCATCCCGTCTACTTCAAGGCCAACTCATCATTCCAGCTGGTGCGGCTCAACTTTGCGACTAGTCCTCGCGCCAGTGACAGCGAACTCTCACACACCTCATACTTCGCTCTGCCTCTCGTGTTGGTAGTCCTGCTGATCATCTACCATCGAGACACTGCCAAAACTCTAGTCACTAAAGTCATGGAGAGCAGACTGACCACTGTGGACAACCAGACAGACGATTCCTCCACAGAAACGCTCATCAGCGACGTCTCCATCAAGCGAAAACTCAAAGCGAGAAAGACATAGGTTAAGTAGGTGTTTGCCAAAGTAGTTATAGGATTGTGGTTGTGTTTGAATACATTTTCTACATGAGTCCATATGTGTTGTTATTTCAACCTGGTTGTTTTGAATTAGCAATTTTTTCATGAAGTGGAATGGTTTTTTCCTAGGACACTAGGCGCTAGCTCAGGATCGATTTTCACATTACTTCAATCTAGACCTGGGGGTTGCGGTAGATATTGAAGTCTCAGGCTCTACCCCTAAACTAGCTCGCTCCCCTTCATGAAGAGTAATAATAACCCCCTTAAGCTGTGTCACGCTTAGTTACTAAGGTTTTAGAATTTTAAAGTGTTGAATATAATTATAGTTGTTGGACAATCATCATGTTTTCTTACTGAAGTGTATAAGATAGGATTTATTATAAAACTAAAATACTGGGTAAAAAAAACCAATAGGCTTAAAACAATGCTCAATTTGTGTAATATTGCCACATTCATTGGAACAATAGTTATTTGTGTAACTAATGTGGTAGAGAAATGTTTCTCGAGTGCAGCAAAGGCAGTTTGCACTCGTTTTACACCTTATATTTTTCCTACAGTTAGTATAAAGCAAAACTACTAGTAATTACAACTACTATAGCAAGTTACTATAATAATTAGTCTTTCAAACACTGTACAGCACGTTTTTAGGTAAGGTTAAATCCAAACATTGAACGAAATGGGAAACGCTGCACCAGCTGATTGTAATTGTAATATCTTTAAGTATTGCCAACTTATTTTCAAGCGTACACGTATTAAGTGTCTAATAAAAGCACGCTGTTTTGTGTTGTTTAGTTGGAGTACTGGTGTGTGGCAAAAAATAAAAATAGTGCGGCAAAAGTAAGTAAATGCAGCAATTAACAACTTTCTGTGCTATAATCAGTGTAAGGAAGGCCACTTTGTCAGGTGACTGTACGAAAAATATATGGTATTTTTAGGACAGAATTACCACCCACAAAAATAACAATAATTACTGTAACTGTAACATTTTCAAAAATGTATCTATTATCAGAAATGTTAAATATTTGAAACTTTTATTCTCTTTCTTAATATATGACTGTAGTATTTAGAAAATTAAAAAGTACCATTTGTAATTATGTTTATACAGTAGACTCCCTCTTTCCGGGCACCTTTTAACCGGACTACACTCGGCGGAAATGACATCTCTTTAACCGGACAATTTATATCAGCACATTGGTTTAACCGGACTAGATTGGCAGGAAGTGGGCGGTACTGAAACGACTGTTCTCGTAGGAAAGATTTGAGACCAGTGATCACGTGTCTAAATACATTGCTTTTCTAAATTTAAGTTGAATATTACAGTAAACGGTCCGTTTTAAACATGTTTTTGGGGACATCTGTTTAACCGGAAAACTCATTATCCGGACTGGCCTCGGTCCCGAGGAGTCCGGATAAGAGGGAGTCTACTGTACAGTAAACAAGATAAATCAGTTAACTAGTAAACAAACAACTGAACTCTTGACATTTTAACTCAACTTAAAAATTGGGAATAAGGCAAAAACTATTTACCATACTTTTTTAAAGCATTTATTAAAAAAATAAATACTGTACAATAATGTTACCCAACGAACTATACATTTGTACATAATAACAAAAATTAAGATTATAACTACAACCTCATAACACTCTTCATCATGAAAAATCATTTTAACAATATAAGAGCTATACGTCTTAAAAGTATTTTTTGAGCTTGATCTTTTAACACAAATTTCTTATATCACTGTTTTATTAATAACTACGAGTTTAATCCAACACACCAGTAAAATCTTTTGTAAAAATTATATTAAAACAAGCTTGTCAGTTTGTCACACTATTTTTAAGAAAAACTATACTTCATTGAAGACTGGCAAACAAGTCCTTTTTGCTTATATAGATTTTTTACATGATATTTATTTCGGACATCACATTTAATTTTTTTTAAGTGCATTTACTGTAGCCATTAACTTAAGAGATCAGATTCCGATATTTTAACATCTTTCAAACACTTTATACAGTTCTGGTAGGGAAGCGACCTGCATGATGGTTTTATCTTCTGCAAACTTCCTTGGAGGCAGAAAACTTGACTTGAGTGTTGGATATATAACATGTTCTACAGTCCACGCCCAGTCATCACCCTTAGACTTCTCCTGGAATTTTAAAGATTCTAATATTATGAAAATTTAACTCCTTAAAGTGAAGTTGAAAGCAGTGTTAAACGTAGCAAATTTATTTCTGTTCAAGACACAAGGAAAGAAACTAAGGGAGTATGTTTTTATGATTATACTAATTGAATAATTTGTTTGTGAACAATTTAAAAAATGTAAAATTTGTTTGTTGACTTTTATAATAAATAAAAATAAATTATATAGTGAAATTATTTACAATTGAATGCAATTACCTAGACCACTTTTATTCCATTGACTAAAGATAATACTGTGACAATAATAAAATAATAATAATTTAATATTTGTTTAGAAATTTAAATTATAGTTAAACATTTTTAGCAAAATACTTGTAGTTGATGGATTTATCGTATAAGGGATAGTTCACTTACATCCAAGGGTGCTTGTGGTAGTTTGCTGTAGAATTTTGCCGTTTGTCTACAGAATGTTTTGAAACAAAGTTGTTCATCGTTCCAGTTGACATCACAAGCAAGTTTCAACACGTACATTGGCAACTGCCCCAAGTCTGGGATATAGTTCACTAGAAGGAATCAACACAACAACACAATTAAAAAAGGCAAAAAATGGTGAGTGAAGAATATTTAAATTGCAATAATCCAACTACTGAAACAAAATATTGCCGTTCTTCAGTTTTAATATTACTGAATTAAAAACATTTTGGGGCATTATCAAACATGTCAGTAGACATATTGAATGTGATATTCACAATATTTTTTGTCAATAACATGCAACTCAAAAGTGTTGAAGTTGCAATGAAGACCTAGAAGATTGTGGATAGATGAGATCAGGTATATGGAGAAGGGAGGAGTGAGACGGCAGATGGTGGAGGAGGCAGAACTATGATAGATTGGAGAAGATGGAGAGGCTTAATTGACACCCAAACCTGAGAATAAGCAGAACGGAAGAGGATGTGAATGTTACAGTAATGATTATTCCTGTTAGATAGACCCAGTACCACTAATGTGATGCGTAATCATATCTATTCAAATATACCTCAAACTCCATACCAAGCCAAATATAAGGGGGAAACAGACGTGAAAAGACTGTGACTTACCCAACAGCATGGGTATAGCGCACAGTGCAGCATTGCTGTTGATGTCCAGTGAGAAGTAGTCCTGCAGCATGTCAGAGCGTGATGACAGCAAAGTGGCGGCCTCCGAGGCCAGCTGAGACTTGTCACCATGACTCGGCTCCCAGCCTGCCTGGGGGCTGTCTAGGGCCAGCTGACACAACTCCTGCAGAGGTAGAGGCTCCTGTGACAGGGTAATGTCTGTGTAGTCTCATGCTACAACATGCACTTACAACAGCCGTTGTAGTTCACTACATTGATTTTAAAATACCTATATTACTGTCAGGTGGTTCTGTAACCTCCATTAGACAACTAGTTTCAAACCTAAAAATTTATTTTCAAATCGAACCCAAAGAAAGTGAAAATTAACCTTTAGGTTTGAATCCAGTGGTCGTCTAACACAAATATCGGGTTGGGGAGGGAGTTTTCCTAGTGCTAGTGGTAGAGCTCGGGACTTCGGTCCTTAGAAAAGTCATTGAACATATTATTCATGTAACAGTGTTTGGTACATGAAGTACTTTTGGAGGTAATACTGCTTAAATGAAATGTACAGGGAGGAGAATTGAGTAGAATAAAAGCTGGGGAAAGACAATTTTAAAGAAGTTTTAAGACTAATACGAAATATGAAGGATAGAGTTAGGAATGAATAGAACAGATCAGATGGGGGGGGGGGGGGTAGTTAAAGTCAGGGAGACCGATTGGAAAACGAAGAAGTTGGATAAGTAAGGTGATGAGAAATTAAAAAGATAGAGGGACCTGGACCTCGACTCAGGAATAACCGTAAGGATAGGATGTGTACATAATCTGTACTGTTCAAAGTCTTTATGGTAAAGATGTTTTTTTTTAGTTAAGCCTTTGAATCACTGATCAATACGTGTACTGGTGCAATTACCTACCGTCAAGTGATCTTTATGACCTTGAAAGGCGACAGGTTATGATCCTCACGGAATCATCTTCAGGTGGACGAATGAACGAAATGAAGATAAAGACGTTCGCCTCGAAACCGGTCGCCTTTCAAGGTCATAAGTATCCCTTGACAGCAGGTAATTGCACCAGTCCACGTAAAAATGTTTAGTATAACAAGTAATTTAAGACGTTGAGTGCTGACTACATCAATTGATGTAGTCGCGCCACGAGCACTCCTATAGGCCTACATCTATTGATGTAGTTGCGCCACGAGCGCTCCTATCGGCCTACATAAATTGATGTAGTCGCGCCACCCCCACTAGTTCAGTATGAGCTCAGCCATTGACGGAGAACGTTATAATCGTTGCTAGCCTGTAGCTTAGAATGTGAGCTTTACTTTGGTGTAGGTTGGTACTAAAACTTCCCATAAAATCCCGTCTGACAATGCTTTGGTCCTGGTTTCAAGCCACATTACAAAGATACTGATCCCGGCAATGCTGCTACCTTTTGGTGTTTCAGTGAACTACGTCTACTCTCGGGGTAACGCAGTACAATCATCGCTGCTCTTTTGTTATTTGTCAGATTGAAATATTTGAATGCCAGTTGCGTTCGCTGTTTCGGTGCCGCGCCGGGCCTTGCCGCCATTGGTGAGTGCCTGTGTGAATGCATGCCAACTCAAAGTGTTAATTAGCTGCACAAGTAACAAAGTTGATCTTTTTCTTGATAACAATGAATGATATAAAGAGTTTTATTTTTACTACAGTTTAGTCACAAACTTTTTATCACAAACTAGAGTAGGCCTAATATTAACTATAAAAGTTACCTTGAATTTAATCACGCCAAAATTAGCAAATTCGTAAAGCATAATTTGGTAAAACATCTCTTCCCTGAAACAAATCTAAAGTTAGATACAAAATGAAAAATGATTTATCTTAAGTATAAATATACGTCTGTGATTGGGAAAAATTTTGGTAGAACGTAAATATTCAGTCAGTATCACTAAATCGTTAAAAGTAAACTTTTAAAATAAATCAAACGCAAGGGGGGCAAAGCTATAAATAATGAAGAATGAAGAAGCTTTAAAATGACACCTAAATCGTAAACATTTGTTAAGTAGGACAACCAGAAAAGGGATATTATAATGAAACTCCTTACTGTTTAATGTATATATAGATAATGAAAAGAACATTAAAAAATAATTTAGCTTATAGAACAAAACAACTCAGCTTATAATGGGACATCAGATGAAATTATGTCTACAGAAAAATGTTCAATATTAAACGTGGCAGAGAAAAATACTTGTTGCACATAATAATACTTACGCAAGAGATCTGGTGTTGCTCATGTACAGACTGGTCTCGTGCTGTAACAGCGCTCTCTCACGGTCTACACAGCCCACAAACGTGTGGTTGGACATGATCTCCCTCAAACCCATGTGTACTCCTTCCTCCACCTCCCTCCTCAGACTCAACACACTGGTCAACTGAATGTCTCTCCTGCAATGTTAGATTATATGATAGTATCTGTATAACAAACGTGTGGTTGGACATGATCTCCCTCAGACCCATGTGTACTCCTTCCTCCACCACCCTCCTCAGACTCAACACACTGGTCAACTGAATGTCTCTCCTGCAATGTTAGATTATGATAGTATCTGCATAACAAACGTGTGGTTGGACATGATCTCCCTCAGACCCATGTGTACTCCTTCCTCCACCACCCTCCTCAGACTCAACACACTGGTCAACTGAATGTCTCTCCTGCAATGTTAGATTATGATAGTATCTGCATAACAAACGTGTGGTTGGACATGATCTCCCTCAGACCCATGTGTACTCCTTCCTCCACCACCCTCCTCAGACTCAACACACTGGTCAACTGAATGTCTCTCCTGCAATGTTAGATTATATGATAGTATCTGCATAACAAACGTGTGGTTGGACATGATCTCCCTCAGACCCATGTGTACTCCTTCCTCCACCTCCCTCCTCAGACTCAACACACTGGTCAACTGAATGTCTCTCCTGCAATGTTAGATTATATGATAGTATCTGCATAACAAACGTGTGGTTGGACATGATCTCCCTCAGACCCATGTGTACTCCTTCCTCCACCACCCTCCTCAGACTCAACACACTGGTCAACTGAATGTCTCTCCTGCAATGTTAGATTATATGATAGTATCTGCATAACAAACGTGTGGTTGGACATGATCTCCCTCAGACCCATGTGTACTCCATCCACCACCACCCTCCTCAGAATCAACACACTGGTCAACTGAATGTCTCTCCTGTAATGTTAGATTATGATAGTATCTGCATAACAAACGTGTGGTTGGACATGATCTCCCTCAGACCCATGTGTACTCCATCCACCACCACCCTCCTCAGAATCAACACACTGGTCAACTGAATGTCTCTCCTGTAATGTTAGATTATGATAGTATCTGCATAACAAACGTGTGGTTGGACATGATCTCCCTCAGACCAATGTGTACTCCATCCTCCACCTCCCTCCTCAGACTCAACACACTGGTCAACTGAATGTCTCTCCTGTAATGTTAGATTATGATAGTATCTGCATAACAAACGTGTGGTTGGACATGATCTCCCTCAGACCCATGTGTACTCCATCCACCACCACCCTCCTCAGAATCAACACACTGGTCAACTGAATGTCTCTCCTGTAATGTTAGATTATGATAGTATCTGCATAACAAACGTGTGGTTGGACATGATCTCCCTCAGACCAATGTGTACTCCATCCTCCACCTCCCTCCTCAGACTCAACACACTGGTCAACTGAATGTCTCTCCTGTAATGTTAGATTATGATAGTATCTGCATAACAAACGTGTGGTTGGACATGATCTCCCTCAGACCCATGTGTACTCCATCCACCACCACCCTCCTCAGAATCAACACACTGGTCAACTGAATGTCTCTCCTGTAATGTTAGATTATGATAGTATCTGCATAACAAACGTGTGGTTGGACATGATCTCCCTCAGACCCATGTGTACTCCTTCCTCCACCTCCCTCCTCAGACTCAACACAATGGTCAACTGAATGTCTCTCCTGTAATGTTAGATTATGATAGTATCTGCATAACAAACGTGTGGTTGGACATGATCTCCCTCAGACCCATATGTACTCCTTCCTCCACCTCCCTCCTCAGACTCAACACACTGGTCAACTGAATGTCTCTCCTGTAATGTTAGATTATATGATAGTTATATGTAAGGAACAGTTCTAGTCTACAGTCAATTCTTTGTTCACCGATGTACACAACGTACCGTATAAAGCCAAAAGATATCTTCATAAGATGTTTGTGACACTACAGTAGAACGTCAATAATCCAAATTTGTTGTGACTGGACCAGTGTGGGCCTCATTATAAAACTATCCGAATCATCGAAATTACCTTTATAAAAAGACCAGCCACACACTATCTGAATAAACATTTTTTTAAATCATTTATTTTCTATTATGTTTTCTGGATAAGGTCTAAAGGAGAGATGAATTTGAAACAATTTTTAAGTGCAAGCATGCTGTATCATATTTAACTCATAGGGACTCTTAATTGTAGTTTTAACTGTACAGAACTAACATCTGGCACGGTGAAAATAGATGGAGAAACTAGAGTTGTACCATAGAAATTAAATAAATAGATTGTAGAATATAAGGAAGAGACCCTGGAAATAGTCACAATATGTAGCAAAATATGCATAGACTGCTATAAATTTGACTAAAAGACTATTCAAGTAAAGATATAAATCTACCTGTTAGCAGAACTGGTAGGGGTGTCAGGGCTCTTGACAGTTTTAGCACTCTGGCTCGGAAAGAATTTGTCTAGTTTCTGAGCGGTACTGTCTGTCCTCACCAGCTTGTTGGCCGAGACAGTTGGAGCTTTGTCATTAGCCTTTATAACTTCAGGCAGATCAGGCAATCTAGCCTACGACAGATAAATTAAAACATTCAGCCAAGGTTAAATTATATTTTCTTTTAATCATAGCTCACAGTCGAAAACTCTAAAAACATATTCTAAGGGTTAAACAAGAGTCATTATTTAAAAGAAAAAGAAGGATTTAACTCTGTATTCAATCACCTAGTAGAAGGTTTACTTCTGTTACATATTATTTACTCGTAAACATTTTTGAGTTTTTTCATGTGTAATCTCTAAGAACACTGGTAAAAACTTTTACAGATTTAACAGGTTGCACTATCTTGAAGGTGTTTAGCAAGATTTGAGCCCTGGCCATCTATAGGGTAAGCTTCTGTGTCCCAAGTAGTAGAAAACCATGACCCAAAAACCTTAACAAGCGAAGGCTTGGGCGTATGCTTTTAGTTAACAGTAAGTTAGCCTACCATTTCAGTAATCTTTTTTTATAACAAGTATTTATTTACAATCTGTTCTTAGACTAGAACATGAAATTAAATTGTATGACGATTTAACATGAGTTAGTTACACTCCAAATAGTGTACTAACAAAACAAAACAAAAGATAAAAAAAAAAAAAAATTGGAAGGTCGATTGGATGAATTATTATGAACCTTATTTACCTTCGTGCTATCAAAAAGGTTAACTTCCATGAAATTCGGATGGTTTTTTTTTTATTTATTCCCTAATGAAAGGCAATATTGTATCCTGATAAATAACATTATTTGATGCCAAGGTGCTTGTAAGATTGAAATCTATGAATTACCGGTATTTCTATGTTTAAGTTTTAAGTGGTTCATCAGAGCTGGAAAACGTAGGCCTAATAGGTTTCAATGTTTCAATAAAATCTATAAGTATAAAAGAGGATGTTTGTATATACAGGGTGACAAAAAAGTCTGGAAACGGTTTAATATCTTTTTAACTAAATTCGTTAGAAAATTCAAACCTTTTACATCAACTTATATGTATGAAAACTACTTTTTGCAATCATTGCCATTATTTGACCTTCACCATGGGACGGCCCACGAGGAGTAGGTACATAATCTTTAATGTAAGCATAGGTTGATATGCACATCATTTTAAAGGTTTGGTCAAGTGGAGTTCATTGCCGGAAACCGCGTCCAAAAAGGTTCATCCGTTACAAAATGGCGGCAGTTCAAAGTTGTTGCGGAATATACCTGCAGAGGCCTTAGTATTGGTAAATACTCATAGTCAACATTAGCAGGGAAATCTGAAACCCGGTTAAATTTGTTTTGAAGATTGAATACTATTATTCTATGAGCTAGTTGACTTTAAAATACAGTTTAAGCTCTCAAACTAATGTTTAATACGAGTATTTGCCCAAACTAAGGCCTGTGCAGGTATATTTCACAAGAACTTTGGACAGCTGCCATTTTGTAACGGATGAACCTTTTTGGACGCGGTTTCCGGCAATGAACTCCACTTGACCAAACCTTTAAAATGATGTGCATATCAACCTATGCTTACATTAAAGATTATGTACCTACTCCTCGTGGGCCGTCCCCTGGTGAAGATCAAATAATGGCAATGATTGCAAATAGTAGTTTTCATACATATAAGTTGATGTAAAATGTTTGAATTTTCTAACGAATTTAGTTAAAAAGATATTAAACCGTTTCCAGACTTTTTTGTCACCCTGTATATATATTTGGCAGTGATAAACTCAGACACCGCTGAACCGATTGCCATGAAACTTGGTACATACGTGTAGAATTTCATGGAATTGTTTTATACACCATCAATTTCGTGATCCGTCCAATCGGCTCCGCCCCAGTGGCTCTGGAGTTTCCCATGTTAACCTTATGAGAAATGGAATTAATGAATCTTAACAGCTGTTTCAATTAAACAAGTTGGTTCTGTTCTATGATGTTCAATAGCATTAAAGTTACAAGGATTACCAACAGGGTGCAGCACTATTATTTCTTTTACATTTATGACAACAGCTAATTTGCAACCAAAAGGTGAGTGAGCGTAGCGAACGAACTTCAACCTGGAGGCGAGTTAGCGTAGTGAACGAGCTAACCCGAAGGCAAGTGAGCGTAGCGAACGAGCTAACCTGAAGGCATGTGAGCGCAGCGAACGAGCTCCAGCCTAAAGGTGAGTGAGCGTAGCGAACAAGCTCCAACCTAAAGGTGAGTGAGCGTAGTGAACGAACTTCAACCAGGACGTGATTGAGCCATGCGAACGAGATCATCTTGAAAATTAAGAAGTTAAACGGGGCAAAGTCCGCGGGTTACAGCTAGTTTTTTTTAAAAGTAATCTGTTTCCAACAGATAATTTTGAATTTTGACCGAAAAGCCAATCTAGGTTAAATTTGTAAAATACATACTTATAGGAAAGAAAAAAAATATATCTAACAGCAGCACACTATTGGTGGGTTAATTAAACTGGGTTATTGATACATTCTAAGACAATACAACTTTAATATGTTAATTCAGCATAAATTCCAGTAGTGTGACAAAATCAAATGTGGAAATCAAATAGTAACCTTGAATATAGTTCTACATCATCTTATCAAACAAATGTTCACTTATAATAATTACATTTATGGTTAATTTTTGTTTACTTTGTTCAATACCTGAGTAAAGAATGTCCGAGATGTGTTAGCACCCAAGAGCATTTTCTCCACTTCTTTTTTGATTCTTTCAATAACTGCTTCCTCATGCAGAAAATTAACTTCATGCTTTGTCGGATGAACATTCACGTCTAAGTTTCGAGGATTCATAAATAAACTTAAGTAAATGAAAGGGTGTGAGCCTTTGGGTAAGTAAAGTCCGTAAACCGAATCCAACGATTTGCGGATTGCTAGAAACAATAATACAATCTCAGACAATAACTCAACAAAAATTATTCAACTAACATTTTATAAAAACAATCTCTGTTTCAAAAGAAAAAAACTCAAATGGGAAATTTATTTAATTTGTTGAATGGGATGGACGTGGAACTGAATTTGTTGGTTCCAATTCCAAAACCAGGTACTGTATCATGCCATTGTATTGGTTGTGAATTGTGATATTTAATTTAACAAATTGGGGAAATTATCAAAATTTATTTTTATATTGCAGAAATAGGCCTACACTTTTAAATTTCTCATTTATTAAAAATTTCTTTGTTTATATTTGAATTTTACAGGTAGATAACGTAAAATTAACTCAACATTGAACTTTACCTTTTCTAAATTGTAGAAAACGGAGAATAGCAGCTAGCTTACCTAGAAAGTGTGGGTAGGCCATAGAACAAGTAGAAAAACATTTTGCACACAATATTGCGTCCCCTAAGGGACTTTGTCAAGTGTAGAGAGAGTTTATAAATTACAAGATGGCTGCTGTCATGGCTGATGGCTGTTGTCAACTTTACCTTTTCTAAAAATGACTAATATTTAAGTCGGCCGTCAGGTGCATTGGCCTCTTTAAAGGCTTTAGAATTGCAACTTTAATGAAAATGGTAGCTTGTAACAAACCCAACGTTCTTAACAAACCCAACGTTCCTAAAAACCCACCACTTCTTGAGTTGAAAACATTCCAATAAATCAACCAACTAAACATTTAATTACCTGATGAGTCTACTAGTCTGTTGTTGATAAAGAGTAGAAATATTGGTTTCTTTGTTGAGAAATTAACATTGGAAATGTATCCACTGACTTTCAGTTGGAGACCTTCGTCTTCTGTATTGATCTCTAGAAGCTCTCTAAAACAGAACAACAGGCAAATAATAACAACCATGAAAGATAGACTAGAGAATCATCTTGCGGGACTATAAGCTAACAGATTGCTGTAGCAGTGGCAGTAAACATTACCAATCCTGATCATATCCTGGGCTCAAAATTTGATTGGGAGTGATTAGCGGAACTATAATAATAATCACTAATTTTGACTTCTGGTTAAGTGCAATAAATAGGTTAAGTGGATCTGATTTTATATAATGTAAGGAAAGAATCACTTATAAACAGAGGGAGTATAACAAGGTCTTATTCATGCACCACGTCCAATTCATTTCTAAGGAAGTATTTTCAAGACCAAAACAGCTGCTTGATGCCTGACTTGTTATTGGGAGTTAGAATAACAACCTTCCACACAAGCTTGAACAAGATGTTGCTTTGTAATTTTCTTACTGAGGTAAAAGGATAACTAATGGCAATTGAAATGGGGAAAACATAGGCAGCCTGTGATTTAGATGTGTTTAGAGGAGTTTCAGACTAATCCTGGCAGACATTTAAAACTGTTAGGAACCATAAAAACAAATTAAGGTTTGTATGAATTCCTAATATTAGACTACTTGAATGACAAAATTACCTTGTGATATTGTTTCCATAGATGATCCGAATGTTGTCCTTGTGGGTAGAGTCTGGTTCCGTTCTTAAGTCAACCAACCCTTCTCCCTGCTTTTTAAGGGTGAATCCCACTTTTGGATTGTGCACTGCATAACGGCTTACCTAAGGGAGGAAATTGTTGAAATATGTTCATATGGAAGTACATTTAATATCAGTGCCTTGTTTAAGGGCCTAATTATAAAGAGTAAGTGTCCAGAATACTAGCTGGTGGGTAAAAAAGCAGGCTTGTTTGAGGGTAAGAGATACAACTCTCTATTAATGTATCCCTCCGACATCATCAAGTTTATTTTCTCTTACCGCTTGTCCCAATCAACTTTAAGTCTAAAGAACATGTCAGCCTTAGTCACTAACAAGACAATAAGATCGCGCCACTCATCCTACACTCATCTCCATTCATACTTTTCTTAAAATACCTACATTCACATGGTTGCCATTTCAGAATAAGGTAAAACTTAGGTATTAATGATAAATACTCTATATAAAACTCTATATTAATCCAAATGAATTTTGCGCTAATGAGTAGTTTAAGCTATGCTATAACTAGCATTTATTGGTCAAATAAATTATCAGTGACTTACCACATCCAAAACTCTAGCATGCTCTTCAGAAGGGCTTTTTAAAGCTTTCCGTCGAGTTGAAACGTTGAAAAACAAGTCTTCTACTGTTATTTGAGTGCCTTGGTTTCCAGCACAGGCTTTCACAGCTCCTTTTAGCTTTCCATCTTCATATGAAGCTCTGAAAAAATCAAATACAACTAGATAAGCTCTACATATCCTTATTTGGTCCTTACTGTATTTTAAACCGTAGGCCTACCATATGGATTAAAGAACATTTTTGTACTCTAAATATCCTAAATATATTATTATGGGCTAATAATAATATAATACTTCAATTAGTTCTCATAACTTTTGATAACATTATTGATTTTAAGTTTAGGGTTCTCAGTTTCAATAACAAATTATCTTATAAAGGCTTACCTTATGGTTGCCAGGTTCTTGGATAATTAGGGGAACTCAATGTACATATTGTCACTTGTGTGGTATCATAAGGAGCAATGTTTTTATTTATACACTAATTACTATCATTGCTATGGAAAAATCAATCATGAAAGTGGCCAATGAATGATGTGAGCCAAAACTGAGTGCGAAAGTGTGAGTGCGTGATGTCTTATTGTCAAGACCGTTGAATCTTTCTATCGAACTCTTATGCTTGTGTTGTCTTTTATCCCCTTCCCTTGTTTCCGTCTTAAAACCATGGAAGGCCTAAATAAATAGTATAGGCATAGTGTTAGTGTTAGAATTTTAACAACAACTTTGATCTTGATGATTCCACAAAAGTGACAATATGTACAGCGGGCTCCATCATTCTTCAAGAAGGAACCGTGCAATCATAAAATAACTTAAAAGTTTTAAAATAGGCCTAATACGGTTTTTTACAAAAAGTTTTTTGTTCAATTTATTATTGACTGATTTTGAGCCTAGTATGCTAAAGAAAGATTGAACAATATTTTACCCAAATTTATGAACAAACAATAAAAAGATTATGGTCCAACGTTCAACATTTATTTGTATAAGAGTAACCTATGTTTCCTAATAGGAGTAGGATCCTGAGAAAAGTCCGTAGCTTTTTGATGGTTCGAAACTGGACCCAGCTGTTCCTGATCATTGGGCTTTAAATAAATGATCCTGGCTAATGAAACAGCTGATCTTAGTCAGTAACAAAGCTACACAGATCATCACACACCATTCTACACTCATCCTTCACTCATATTTGGGTTAAAATACGCACCTAAGTGGCGTCCCCATCTTAATGATTGATAATTGATAAATAGGTACCCTAAAAAATATATATATTTAAGTATTTTGCAAGCTATCATACTTGTAAGCACAAGGCTGGTCTTCAGTCTTTGTGATGATGGTAAGATGAGCAACATGACTGACACTGGCCAATGCTTCTCCTCGGAAACCAAATGTTGCGATGGAGTTAAGGTCTTCAAACTGGACCAGTTTACTGGTGGTGAAACGTTCACAAACAATCTCCATGTCTTCCTTTCTGATCCCGCATCCATTGTCTTGAATCTGAGGGAGGGAACGATAATAAAATTTACTTTTGTGTAAATTGAGAGAGTAGGCCTAGGGTATGTGATGCAATCAGGCTAGAGCCTATATCAAAATGCTGATCCATAGTCAGGTTATACGGTGGAACATGCATGGTTTTATACATGTAGAAATAATTACTATATTAAGTTCAAACGTACCTGCAGTAATTTCAGCCCACCCCCTTTGAGAGTAATTTGAATATTGGTTGATTTTGCATCCAAGCTGAAAGGTGACAACACAAACTTTAAAATAAACAACAGCAAGTTCACTGCCAGAAAAATACTTATACTTAAGTTTACTTATTAAGCTTTACTCCTGTTTATCACATCAATAAACTAGGATTAACTTGGTTAGCTAAAGCTAACTTAGTTTGTTGGATTTGATTCACTCATTTAACTTATGTAATTAGCCTAAAATTTAAATTCAGAGAGATACAGGTAGCCTACGGTATTTTAACTTACTGTGGTAATATACAGAGGCCACTTATTTTGGGACCGCATCTCGTCCCGCCGTCTAGTCTACTTGTACCTCGAGGCCTAGGGACAACTAGTCGTAGTACAACTAGACGTAGGTAAAAGTAGACGGTGGCACACCCGACTAGATGTAGGCTACCTGCAGATTTTTAGGAGGTACAACTAGACGTAGGTGCAAGTAGACGTGTACAACTTGACGTGTATCCCACCGACAAGTAGTATCACCTAGCTTGTTGTCCCTACGACTAGTGGTCCCTACGTTTAGTTGTACCTACTACTTCTATACCAGCTCACATCCGAAAAGAAACAAAATTTAATAAATTCAAGCAGCTCTTAAAGGAATATTTTTTAAGAACTCCCTGCTACTCAGTAACAGAATTCTTTAGTATAAGTAAAAAACAGTTAGGCCTAACTTAATTTGAATTCCAAACACTGTTATCCTTAAAGTCATGGTTTTGTTAAAAGTTAAAGTAAAGTAATTTTAGTACTCTTTTTATGTATTTAATTAGCAGAAAGCAATTTTGAATTTAGCTTATGACTCTATTCAAGTTCATGTAATGTGAAACTATAATGAATAAAGAATGTTTTGACTTTGACTTTGACTAGTTGTACCTACGCGTATTTTGCGTCCTTATAGTCTAGTTGTATCTATCCTTCAATTCGTTACTCCGTTTAATTGATTACTGCTTGAGTACTTTTTAATAATACCCTTCATTAAATCAGAAACTGCAGTGTTCCGAGTCAATTGAGTATGATTGGCAAATATTTTTCACCGCACTACGATGTTTTAGTAGTTTTACAGACGTTAATTGGAGGCTGAAAGCTACGCATTGCTGTCCAGGGTCGAAATGGCAGCTATAGTTGTAATTAAAATTTTACAGCCCAAGTACCGAAAATCGCTTATTTAATTAAAACATTTATGTATATATTATTAAATATACAAGCAGTAGGCCTATATCCTTAATGAATTTCATATTTCATACTTGTTAAAATATTTAATTATTGATCGCACTAACTATCAATCTCAACTCAACTCTCCTGTAAAATGGCGTTTGCCGTGTATGCAATAAATAAAAATAAATAAAAATAAAATAAAAATAAAATTGCAATAGACCACTGCCTAGCAATTATGTATGACTATTTTTGCTGATTCCTTTAAATATTTTTTCACATAACCTTAAAGTATTTGCATTGATTAGTGTGCATTTCTTATAGTTTACAATGGATTTTCCAGTGAACAATGAACAATGAAGTGTACAATGAAGTTGAGGTCCAGTGGTTGAAAACTCGACCAACAATATGCAATGTACAGACTTCTCTATTTAACGCACACTGTAAATAATACATGTGATTGGAATTTTGTCCATTTCAAACAAACTAGAGAAGCTAGTTAAACTATAGGCTATAAACTAAATTTGATACTGAGCTAGGTACCGTATGTGTACACTGGCTATGTAGTCTGCAACTGAACCAAGATTAGTTTTACTAGGACTAATAAGCGCGCGCAAAAAAGTCATACCTGGGTTATTTTTTCAATGGTATTTCAATAGTGAGCTTTCATTACATTTGCGTAGAAGGTAATTAAGATGTGTTTTTGAGAAAAGTTAGTAGTTATACTCCGCTTAAACAGCCGTGGCACCTGACGGATTAGGAGAACCCATAGAAACCCTTGGGGCCTTCTAATCCCTCAGGTGCCACGGCTGTTTGAACGGAGTATAAGTGTGAAATAACTTAAACTTATTTGTCAAAGTATATGCATCAACAACCAAACTACGCCAGTTTATGTAATATCCATAAGAATAACATATACATTTTTTATTTGAACTTGTTGTAATATTCTCCGTGACTAATACCATACAAAAACACTTCATTATACTCAATTACTTGTTTTTGTAAACTCTGAATTTATTTATTTAAGATAATTGTTTTAAGTTGTTGATAAAGCTAGTTAATATTAGTTTTCTAGAGAAAGGTAGAGTTTAAATGTGGAAAAAACAATGATAGCAGATCTTGACAAGAAATAAGGAAAACCAAAGTGTAATATGGATAAGGACTGACCAAGGGGCACAGTACATTGTTATCAAGAACAGGGTTTTCTCAATGAGCTGCAAACAAGCCAAATTTTCCTGGCTTTTGTAGCAAGTTGTTTATAAAAAATTTTTGTAAGATTGTAAGATTTTTAAAGAAATGAAATAAATCCCTTAAACTGGTGACAAGTTGAAGGGGAGATACAACTAGCCGTAGATACAACTAGACGTAGGTACAAGTAGGCGTAGGTACAATTAGTCGTAGGAACAAGTAGTCGTAGGTACAAGTAGTCGTAGGTACAACTAGTCGTCGGCACATATAGACGCAGACGTATGAGGTACAAGTAGACGGTGGCGTACTCGACTAGTTGTACCTGCAGATTTTTAAGAGGTACAACTAACTTAGACGTAGAGACAACTATGTTTAGACGTAGGTACAACTAGACGTCCGCACCATCGTCAAGTTGTACCTACAGCTTTGGACGAGGTACAACTAGAGACGCCTGTCACCAAAATGCAGCAGGTACAACTAGACGCCGGTGCAAGTAGACATCGACCCCTTATTTTACAGCGCGCTGCGGCGGTTAAGTTTGGTTGTGTTATCATAAATATGTTTGTAGGACTTTCCTTTTTCCGTCATGAATCGAACGTTACCAGATACTTAAGTCATACTTTTAATTTATGATAACCCAACCTAACACAACCTCCGCAGCATGCTGTATAAGGAGATGCAATACCAATAACAAGGCTAGTACCTACTTGGAATTTGAAAAATGTAAGATCGACAACCTTAGCTTTGGTATAAGAGGTTTCCCTATATCCTCAAAAATTTGATGTGTTTTGACCAATTTCCTATAAATGTGATTATGATTCCTAAACTTAAAATGCCACTAAGTAAGATACTTAGGGGCGGTTCACGAGTTCGGGACTTCATAGTCCGCGACCAGACGCTGGTCCCGGACTATATAAGCGACGACCAAAAAATGGGTTCACGAGTCAGAGCCTAATGATGTGAAAGCCGGGCCCATTGTAGGTCGAGACCAAATCCGTAGCGGAGCCTAATGACAGGGATTCGCAGGGAATTTTTGTTGAGACGTTGGTAACAACCAGTAACAACAGTCTGGAAACACATGTGAAGTCACTGCTGCTGACATACACACTTCCATACAATACTACTAGGATGATCGTGAAAAAGGCTGAACCAAAACGTCCAAAACGATTATTTTTCCCGTATTTCATTGTCCCAATGCTCGCCTATGATAATCTATCTAAGTGTATCTAAATTGATTTATAAACACAACAATCCACGTTTGTATGAAATCAGAAAATGGAAGTCTTTAGTGAAATATATTTTTCTGTGTGCATTATTATAATTCAATTAAGATGCATGACATAAAATAACCGGGTAGGCCTATTTTTATAATAGGATGATCGTGAAAAAGGCTGAACCAAAACGTCCAAAACGATTATTTTTCCCGTATTTTATTGTCCCAATGCTCGCCTATGATAATTTATCTAAGTGTATCTAAATTGATTTATAAACACAACAATCCACGTTTGTATGAAATCAGAAAATGGAAGTCTTTAGTGAAATATATTTTTCTGTGTGCATTATTATAATTCAATTAAGATGCATGACATAAAATAACCGGGTAGGCCTATTTATAACCGGATGAATGCCTATTTTGCATAAATGCCCGATAATTAAGGATGGTGATTTTTGGATAGGATAATTTTAACTAAACTTATTTAAATGGTACAATTATTGAAACTAAAATGTATTTAGAGGTACTGATTATTAGATATACAAATCGTATGTGTGTGCTGGATTTAATCGTGGCTGTAAACGAAGAATATTCTTTCCGTTATTCTTCCACTCTATAATAATCTAACTGTAAAATGTTGAAAATAATATTCTGCAATTAGCTCGTAATATTATTTATGTTAACAGCTATGGTTTTTAATTGACATTTTGTGGTGTTGCGATTTTTAAAATCAGTTTCATTACAATGCGTTTATATTTAGGCCTACTAGGTAGGAAGGATTTACTAGTATTATATTATATTTACTAGTAGGAAAACATAGTTTTTTTTATTTGGGCATAGTTTCGAACTGGAAATTTGATTTGTTCTGCTTTCATTACCAAACAAATAGCTACCATCCAAACTTTACTAACATCCAATAAATCACCAGTTTCTCGATGAAAAGTGCCATTAGCCAAAAATATTAGTGCAACTGACTTTTTTTTCAATTTAGAATACTGTAATGGATTTTGCTGTCGGGAAATCCGTGCCTTGGAGTGAACGCCTCAAATGACTCATTGACGGTATCTTTGGAACATTTTAATCTATTTTTAAATTCATCAAGTCATAAAAGGGTTTTAGTCATGATAACGAGCTGGTCTTATGCGAGGAGGTGGAGTGATTGTACATAATTGTTAACATAATACAGTATAGATATTTCATAGTTATATTCAATACACACGGCGACCAGTGAGTACAACACAAGACAGTGATATCACCGCGAACCGTACCCAACGACTGATGGTTTGCTTGATGTTTCCCACGGCAAAAAAACTATTTCTGATAATTATGTTGGAACTGTGGCTGATTAGTTATATTTATATTCTACGCATAATTTTGTCGTTAAAATTGTAATAACATGGGGTTTACCAGTAAAATATCTTTGTTATGATACTACTTTGTTACGTGCATAATTTATCTGTCGTTTTAAGTTGTTTGATGTTTTTTTTCATGTTTTATGAGCCTTTTTACCATTTTTACATATTTTTTAAATATGGTGTTGTGGGTAATGAAACTGTTCGGAATTTAATGAAGAACCATATTTAAACATTAGTTTTTAACAAATAATAAAAATAAAGGAGCTAATTAGATAAAACCGGCATCATGTCACGTTAAACCTGCCTCCTACCAGGTCGAGTTGGACACCAAACACCATTGTTCTTTTGGGCCCGAACCATCTCATTTGGGCTTGGACTTGACTCGTGAACCCACCGGGACTAATGATCAGAGCCAGGACTATCTGTAATTGGACTCGTGAACCCAACTTTTAAAACCGGGTTTTATCCCTGCACTAATTGTGTGCCGCCTATCAGTTTGGTCCGCGGCTTATATAGTCTCGAGCTTGTGAACCCGATTTTTTAAGTCGCGGCCCAAATACCGGTTATTTCCGGATTCTGGGCTCGGACTACGATAGTCCCGAGCTCGTGAACCGCCCCTTAAAATGATAGGTTCAAACCACAGATAAGTTTACTGAGAAAGTCATTACACAGCTACTGATTTTAGGCTATTAGTTCTTACCATAACTTAACTTTGTATTCAGCAAGGAAAACTAAACAATAGGCTAAGCACAAATCTGTGATGGGCACTCGTTTGATTTTTTTCACGTATTGAATAATGTGACATGACAAGGCAAAAATGGAGTAGGGTTAGGTTGTAGTTAGTTTGAACCAAATGATACAATTATACAAACCTGTTTTCAAGTAATTCTTTAACTGCGTTGGCAGGTCTTTGTATTACTTCTCCAGCTGCAATTCTATTGACAACCGTTTCATCCAATTTCTTGATTACAGGCCTTGAAGACATTTTTGTGCAACAGCTAGGCTTATCAGTGGTACATAAAAGTAATACAATGAAGCATAGGAAATATAAAGGTCTTTATGTTACTAAAATAATGTTTCCCTGAGAAAATGTGTTTGAGTTAAAATAGTTGAGTATTTATTTCTCATACTAGGCCTAGGTCATCTTCATGAAGAACTGGTTTAATAACTTAATGGTTTTAACAAATTGTAAAATTTATTTAGGCTTAAGTCTGAATAAGGTAAACAGACGGAAAACTGTAAAAAAGAATAATCAAGGTCTGGAATAAAATTATAATGTAAAATAACCAAAGCAAACTGTATTTACGAACACGATCCCGTCCTGCCAACCAGTGAGTTGTCTCGCTCGGTTTGTTTTTGTTATTGTTATTATTTAAAAAAAGATGTTTACGAATTCCCGCCGGGTTGGTCAGCAGGGTTGCCATTTCACGAACTATCCAGTCTTTTAACTGTAAAACCATTGATTAATAGTATTGGGGAATGACCATGACGCAACTGGCATTGAAATTAAATAAATATTATACCATCCCAGAGGTTTTAAGCTTAAAATGTGAATTCAGGTCCCAAAAAATCCATAATAACATGCCTGTGTTATTGAAAAATTGTTTCTCTTCACTAAGAAACAATTTTGTAATCTTCCTAAAAAATACCCGGCCTCAAAATTTTCCCTATATGAAATTGTAGGTAAAATGATTTTGAAGCTTTATGGTGAAGGACAACGGCTTATTCGTTGATGGGTTTCCATTCAATGTTATGTTGTGGACGCGTCTGCGAACGCCATCAAGTTTATTTTTATTAATTCACAATTTTACAAGAATTACAATCATGTTTGTAGACACAAGAGCAGAGTGAAGGAATAGTGTTAATTAATTTCTGACAACAATTTATTATTAATTCTGAGCAATATTTCTCAGTTCAGATACCCGCTTTCTTTTTTTTTCTTTGTGCCGTGTGCTTCGCTTCGTTGGTTCAGTTTGGTTCAGTTCGTTCATAGATAAAACCACTGAGCTAAAATTATAACTGGAGGTAGCACTGCCATGGCAGAAGTCTGTCAAAAGCGAGTCGCTGATTTTGTTAGGTTGGTATAGCAGTAAGTTTTCTTACCATAGCAATAACATGGCTTCTTATAACTAGGTTGGTATAGCAGTGAGTATTTTTGTCATACTTGAATACTTTTAATACTTTAATAATTTTCTTTGAAATGGCGAACATACAAAGTAGGTATTTTAAGCCAAGTATAATAATAGTTATAGCAATAATATGGCTTCTTATGGACACCCACCTCACGCAAACATGGCGGCTGGCGACACGCATCTTTGACATTCAGTGCTACCTCCAGTTAGAATTATAGCTCAGTGGATAAAACCGATAAAACATGTAAAACATACTCCCGTTCGTTCTTTCTTTATTGTTCTTTTTCTCCTCCCTTCAGCCGAGCCTCGTCAGTCGTCACATTCACGCACAGACACAGATTGTCTATTTTCCATTTCAATCCGCTTCGAAATTCTATTTTCGGACAAGAAGAAAATGGCGTCTCTTCTGTAAAGGATCGGTGATCTTGTGCTGATTGTTATGGTGTCTGATTATTAATAACAATTCATTTAACGTTGTGTAAATAACTACAATAATTGATCTTCATTGACAACTTCGTAGATTAATTAAACACAATTTTGATTGTTTAGACCTTTGTTTAGTTCTAAAGTGTGAAGAAGAAATGTTAGTGAAGTATAGGGCTATCCAAGACGATTTTCTTCCAAAGAATAACAATGTCAGGCCAACTAATCTTTAAGAATGGTACCAATTGACAGAGTAAAATGGCATACTCTTTGTTTAATTATTTGGACAGCAAATCGCCGTATATTGTTGGCTTGGGAATTATTATAAGCCATAGTAATACAGGTAGGCCTAAGCTTATTATTAACTTAGTAGGTAGGCCCTAAGTTTACTAACCTATCCTAATTATTACAATTAGGCCAGTGTTACCGAGCCTTGAGCCTTACCAATAAGGAATCTCTCCTGTCAAAGCAACAAAGAAGGTAGATGATGGATCTAACCCTGAGTCAGTTAACCCTTAACTTAGGACTGCCCTGATGGTTTGGACGAATGTCCGGCTGTCATTTTTGTAATCTCACAAGGTTGTTTTTTTTAATTTGCAGTGTCTAAACTACTTACGATAACTTAGAAATATACATGCTCATTTTGTAGACAAGAAGGAAATTTTGAATAAAATTACTTAACTTAGGCCTAAGTTAATTAGCCTAAGTCCCTAATTGGTAAATTCCCAGGGTACAGTTTCTTAACTGGGCTATGCTAATATTGATTGAAACTATCAATTCGATTAGTCCTTCATGCGATTTTTTCACCATCAGCAAGTTTGGTTGGTTAGGTTAGGTTATGATGGTTTAATTTTTAGCCTAGTTTTATTTTATAATAGATATAACTTTTGTTAAAAATATTGATTATTAATCAATATTTCCAATTCGATAGTTTCAATCAATATGAGCATAGCCCAGTTAAGAAGCTGTACCCAATTCCCAAGTTAGTTTACGGACATAACTTAGGCCTAACTTATGGGATATTTAACCCTAGCAGTGGCCAACCGTCACTGGGTGACGGTTTGCCAATGATGCTTAGAATGGCCACCGTCACCGGGTGACGGTAGGCCTATGGGCAGAAATTATTTTAACGGTAAAGAAATCACTTAGGTATAATCAACTCAGATGAGAACAATAGGCCTTATAGGCTATACCATTCTCTGAACTTTCATTTTATTACATAAACAAACCCTGTAGCAGGTAGGACCTATATAACAATGTCACGACGATTAGAAATCAAATAAATTTTTGGCGCGGCACGACTTTTGCAGCCGACACTTCGGAACTGGCAAAACACGTCTTGTTTGGCAGTACCCTGCTTGGGTAATTTTCGTCTTGGGATGTTGCGGGTGGTACCACTGGATAGCCATTGATTTTATCTTCATTGTGGTACAGTAGTGAAATTTAGAACTAAATATTGATTGGACAACCGGTACGATTTTATGAAAACAGCTGTTTTAGAAATTTATAACAAATGGCCTATACCATCACAAGGTGACGATATGAAAAAAAAAGAATTACATACAGTGTAAGTTATTATTACCTACTCTAGTCATATATTATGTTATTTTGAAGAGGAAGAAATGTAGCTTGTGATAGTGGCAGCCCTGCGCTCAGGGTTATTCCCGTTTTCTCTCACTAAGACGACAAAAGTGTGTCACTACTGTCAAGGTCTCATACACAAAGTGTCTTGTATTCACCATTGCGTGTTGTTGCCAGTGAGTTTTTGCTCTCGTTTTATCCGCGATTGATTACTAAATTCGTTACTATTTGGTTCGTATTTTTTGAGAAATGTGCATGTGTACCGTAGGTATATAACAGTAGTAACTTAACCCTAGCAGTGGCCAATGTTAGAAGTGGGGAATGGCCAACCCATTTTGGCGATTTTGCAGACCATTTTTTGAAAATTCGTAAAAATTCAACCGTACAAGTAAACTTAGCCAACCTCATATTCATTTTGTTCGGAAAGAACAGGAGAATCTAGAAATAGTAATATCATAATGATTGAGACAGTGTATTTTATCGGTAAAGTGAAAAAAATAAAAAAATTTGAATTTGAAGAAATTTCAAAAGCGGCCTCTGCTTTTTTTTCTACGGATTTTTTATGGGAAATTCATTATATAGGCCTACATTTTGTAGACAATCTAATTCCCTACATAGAAATATATGGGGAAAATATTTTTTTTAATAAGTTTTTGGGGCGAAATATAATGACAAACGGAGAACCGAAAAAATTGAAAACCGTACAGTGTTAGTTTATGTTGTAAAAAGTTCTATAATATATGTGTATACTAATAATGATATATACATGTTTGTAAAGCCAATGAAGTAAGGAATCAAAAAAAGTCATAAAGTTTAGGGTAAAAATAATTTTTTACCTATAAACATAGCCTACGGATATAAAATAATGTTTTTATATTTTAGCGATTTCTCGAGAAAAAAATTCACAGTACTTAGTATACAACTTTTGTACCAAATTTGTTTAACTCAAACCAACATAATAATCTTGTAGTGTATTCAATTACCTACATAAAAATGTACCTATAACATGTTAGAAATATTTTTTTTGTAGGTACGTAATAGGGACATAATAATACAATAACCGCAAAACCGCAAATAAGTGTAAACTATAGCCTACAGTGTTTGCTTGTGTTGTGAAACATTATGTAGGCTGATGATATGTAGCCTACATATTTGTAAAGCTAATGAAGTAAGGAATCCAAAAAAGTCATAAGTATGATGGTAAAAAGTTATTTTCACCTATGATTATATATCAATTTGAGAACGTTTTGAATTTTTTGTGCATTTCGAGAAAATGGAGTGTACAGTATTTAGTAGCCTATATAATTTTTTTACCAAATTTTTTACACCCAAACCAATATAAACATGGTTTAGTGTATTCATTTACCATTATAAAAATGTATAACACCTTGGGTAAATCATTATATAGCATATATAGCACCTCTGAATGTCAGAATCGTCATTTTTGGACATGATGCTAACAAAATACAGTAGTAGGCCTATTTAGTATAGGTAGGCTATAACTTTTTTACAAAATTTTTTACCCCCAAACCATTATAAACATGTTGTAGTGTATTCATTTACCTTTATAATAATGTATAACACCTTGGGTATATCATTATATAGGTAGGTACAACAATCTCTGAATGTCAGAATCGTCATTTTAGGACATGATGCTAACAAAATACAACCTTTTATGAACACTATTTCACACAATTCAGTAATATTTATGCATGAAGATTACTGTTATACACACACACAACACTTCACTAACACTAACACTATGAACTAATAACATATTTAGTAATAAATCGCGGATAAAACTATTACCGGCAACAACACAAACAAACAATGGCAATACAAGACAGCTGACAGACTGTAGCAGTAATGACTCACTTCCGTCGTCTACATGCGAGCATACAGAAATCACCCTGAGTGCAGGGCTGCCACTCTCTGAATCTAAATTTCTTCCTCTTCAAAATGATATACTATATGACTAGTAATAATAACTTTCACTGTATATAATTCGTATTTTCCATACTGTCACCAGACGACTGTTGGCCATTTGCTAGAAATTTCGAAAACAGCTGTTTTCATAAAATCGTACCGATTGTGCAATCAATATTTAGTTATAAATATCACTACCACAATGAAGATAAAATCAATGGCTATCCAGTGGTACCACCCGCAACATCCCAAGACGAAAATTACCCGAGCAGGGTAATGCCAAACAAGACGTGTTTTGCCAGTTCCCAAGTGTCGGCTGCAAAAGTCGTACCGCGCCAAAATTTCATTTGATTTCTAATCGTCGTGACATTGTTATATACCTGCTACAGGGTTTGTTTATGTAATCAAATGAAAGTTCAGAATGTGATCTTTCGAATGGTATATACTCATCTGAGTTGATTGTAAGTGTTTTTTTTACCGTTAAAAAAATTTCGGCCCATACCGTAACCAGACGACATTGGCCATTCTAAGCATCAACGTCATACCGTCACCAGGCGACAGTTGGCCACTGCTAGGGTTAATCTTAGTGCATTTTATTATGCATGAATATTTACTGAATAGTGTCAAATTGTGTTTATAAAAGGTTGGATTTTTCTTGCGGTTGTATTTTGCAGTTTTCCGTTTATTTATATTATTATGCCCCTAGCTCGTAAAAACAAAAATTGTTAACCAACGTGTTACCGGTATACATTTTTATGTACCGGTAGGTAATTGAATACGGACTACAAGATGTTAAGGCTATGTTGGTTTGAAGTAAGAACATTTGGTACAAAAGTTTTATACTAAATACTAGCCTATGAATTTTTTTTTCTCACAAAATCGCTAAATTATAAAAACATTATTTTATTTATAAATAAAAAATCATTATAAACTTTATGATTCTTTTTTTATTCCTTACCGTACTTCATTAGATTTACAAACATGTAGGCCTATATATCATTATTACTATTCACATATATTATAGGCCTATAACTTTTTACAACACAAACTAGCACTGTACGGTTTTCAATTTTTTCGGTTCTCCGTTTGTTATTATATTTCTTTATAGTCTTACCTCCGTCAGTAGTCCAAAATTGTGTCTTATTTCAACTAGGCCTAGGTAATGTTGATCAAAGCTGACATGTTTCATTGCACTACAACATCGTCGGAGCTTTACGTCAAAAACATCAAATAATTTTTTAAACATAAAATACAACACGGGACACAGTCTAACATTTAAACACGAAATAACACGATAGCGTTATCATGACATGGCACGGCAGCGGTTGTAGGTAGACTGGACACGGGTTATGTAACTTCGTCTCGTCCTTCTCTGTTATCAGCTCGGTGGTCAGCTGTTCCAGATTAGATAACAGTGTTGAAGAGGGAGTGGCACTTGAACTGTAGTTTATCATTGAAGATGTATTCCTTATGTTCTCAGTTTATGTTCATTTTATATATTTCATACTCCTCAAGTGTGTCCAACTTATTACCTTTCCCACGATAATGTAAAACTTCCAAGCCGGTCATAATTTCACTCATAGAGTGATTACAATCAGCAAGGTGTTGAGCAAATGCAGATTTTTGTTTATGGTGTTTAGGATCTGGTCGGTGTTCTTTATATCGTGTTTGAAAGGCACAGCCTGTTTGGCCTATGTATTTACTTGGGCAATCCGGACAAGATATCCTATACACGCCGGTTTTATCTATTTTGTCACCTATCTTATTTTTATTCGCCAACACGTTTCTGGTATGGTTTGTAGTTCTGAAGGCTAGTTCAATGCCTTGTTTAGCGAGTTCTTTCTTTAATGCTTGTTGGATACTTGATACTTGATGTGTTGCCACTGGAAGTGCTGCTGCGCCGTGGACGTCAGTTTTTTTTTTCTTTTTATTTCTTTTCTATGGATCTACCATAAAGTCTTCAATTTTATATAACGGGGATTCCGTTAATATATTCTTCAATTTTTCTTTGAAGGATTCCATCGAAGGTTCTTCCTTAATCTCATTTGGTAGTCTATCTATCGATAGTGTGACTATATTCCTTGCAGACATATTTTTTCTTCTCTGAGCTGTCAATCTTTACACCTTGTTTGTTTTTATTGTTATGTTTTGTGATGAGCCTATCTACTAAACCGCTTTTATAACCATTTACTGTAGCTATAGGATATATGTTTTATAGTTTTGTATTCAATTTCATAATTTACTGCGTTTAACGGAACTGTTAACATCCTATGGACCAATGAATTAAATAAAATGCTGACATTTTTTGAGAATATGGTTGGTATGAGGTGTTGTGGATTGTTTGTACAGATGTGGTTGGTTTCCTGTATATGCTATAATTGAAACTGTCGACAGTCTTCTTTATGTTTAAATCTAAAAAATGTATGCAGTCTGATTCTTCTGTTTCAAGTGTGAATTCTAATTTTGGTGCTATTTGATTTAAATATTTGAAGAGGAGGTTTAATTGTCTCTTGTTGCCACCAAACTTTAATACAATGGTGTCATCCACCACATATCCATAGTACATCAGTATATCTTATCTTTGTATTTGTTTTTATCTGAAAATATCCCATAGCAAGGCCGTCGTTCTGTAAATAATATTTACCATTGAAAGTAAAATAGTTCTGAGGGAGTACTTCAGTTAGTAGTTGTAAAATTTCATTTATTGCTTCAGGTAGTAAGTTTGAATGTTTATTTAGGTTGTCATAAACAATGTCCAGTGTGGTTTTCAATGGGACATTGGTATATAGGTTTACAATGTCAAATGAGGCGAGAGATTGGTGCATTTTTATTTTAAAGTCTTTAGTTTTATTTATGAAATCATAGGGGTTTTTTAGGCTATGATTGTTTTCAAGGACAATATTTTCTTTCAATAAACATTCTAATTTCTTGGCTATTTTATAAGTAGGAGCGCTTGTATAGTCTCCCAAAACTTGGTAAATAACTTAGGGCAAGTTTAATGAAGTAATAAACGCTGAAATCAAATCTATCGTTACCGTAATGAAGATGACAGAAACGAGGCTAGGTTAATAATTTCACACAAATTAAATAGAAAACACAGGTTAGGCAATATAATCTTACTTCCGTAACAAAAACTGCAGTTAAAAGCACTACAAAACATTAAAACTAAGTTAAATGATCATAATGCTATTCTATGTAAAGCTGACAAAGGCAATACAACTGTAATAATGTATAAAACTGATTACAATATCAAAGTACAAAGTTTCATTTCTAAAAACGACATAATTGAAATAGACAAGGATCCCACGAAATCATTTCACACCAAAATAAAGAAATTGGTTAACCAGAGTAAAGTGCTATTTACTGAAGATGACATAAAATATCTAGACGTGTCATGAACCCATCTCCGCCCATTTTACATGGCCTACCTAAAGTCCATAAGGAGGGTATTCCCATCAGACCCCTAGTAGACTATACAAGCGCACCTACTTATTAAATAGCCAAGAAATTAGAATGTTTATTGAAAGAAAATATTGTCCTTCAAAACAATCATAGAAAAATATGTCTGCAAAGAATATAGTCACACTATCCAACACGCATTAAAGAAAGAACTCGCTAAACAAGGCATTGAACTAGCCTTCAGAACTACAAACCATACTAGAAACGTGTTGACGAATAAAATTGAGATAGGTGACAAAATAGATAAACCCGGCGTGTATAGGATATCTTGTCCGGATTGCCCAAGTAAATACATAGGGCAAACAGGCCGTGCCTTCCAAACACGATATAAAAAACACCGACCAGATCCTAAACACCATAAACAAAAATCTGCGTTTGCTCAACACCTTGCTGATTGTAATAATCACTCTATGAGTGATATTATGACCGGCTTGGAATTTTTACATTATTGCGGGAAAGGTAATACCTAAGTTGGACACACTTGAGGAGTATGAAATATATAAAATGAACATAAACAATGAATACAAGGAATACATCCTCAACGATAAACTACAGTTCAAGTGCCACTCCCTCTTCAACACTGTTATCTCATCTGGAACAGCTGACCACCGAGCTGATAACAGAGAAGGACGAGACGAAGTTACATAACCCGTGTCCAGTCTACCTACAACCGCTGCCGTGCCATGTCATGATAACGCTATCGTGTTATTTCGTGTTTAAATGTTCCTTGTCTCGTGTTGTATTTTATGTTTAAATTATTTGATGTTTTTGACGTAAAGCTCTGACGATGTTGCAGTGCAACGAAACATGTCAGCTTTGATCAATATTAGTTGAAATAAGACACAATTTTGTACTACTGACGGAGGTAAGTCATTTTTAGTAGTCTAGGGGCTATCAGAATGACTACAAAATGTATATAATGAATTTCCCATAAGAAATTCGTAGAAAAAAATACTGAGGCTGCTTTTGAAATTAAAAAAAAATCTATTTTTTTATCTTTTTCACTTTACCGAAAAAAAATACACTGTCTAAATCATTATTATATTACTATTTCTAGATTCTCCTGTTCTTTCCGAACATAATGAATATGAGGTTGGCTAGGTTTACTTGTACGGTTGAATTGTCACGAATTTTCAAAAAAATGTCTGCAATATCGCCAAAATGGGTTGGCCATTCCCCACTTCTAACATTGGCCACTGCTAGGGTTAAGTAATATTGTCATGAGGTTGTTCAGAATGACGTCTAGATCACCACTGTAATGTTTTTTTCCTTTGTCGATTGACAGATCTCCAAAATATTTGATCAGCTAACTTATAAGTTAGTACCGAATATTAATTTGCGTATAAAATTATTAACAAAGAGTAACTTATCTTAAAAAAAAAAAAAAAAAAAAAAAAAATACTAGGCCTAGACTTGTGTAAATGGGCTAAAGTTAGGCCTATAAGAAATTAATTTTAAGACCTAAGTTTTAAGAAATTAAGGATAATATGGTTTACATCAACGATTAAACATAATGCAATTAATTGGTGAAATAGTAGCTTTGGCCTAATCCTAGTGTGAATAACATCACCCATTATGTAGGTATGTTTAAGTTATAAGTTAGCATATCTAGGCCTAATCTCAGCCTATTCAATGAACACGAGGTAAAAATTACACATCAAGTGAAAAATAATCTCAGAGAAAATATGTAGTTGTATTGGAAAAGGCATTCAATGGCTTTTTGTATATAAAATTTGAGCCTAGGTAACTAGCGGAAAAATAATTTTTGATCAAAATATTGGTTGTATTTCAGTGTCTGGAATTTTGTGCTACTGTGAGGGACATTGTCCCGATGGACTGCACAATGGAACCTGTGAGGCAAAACCAGGCTCACAATGCTTCAGTGCTGTGGAAGACGTATACAATTTGGAAACTGGTAACTATGAAGAAGAAAGAACCTACGGATGTCTTCCTCCTGATGAACAGGGATTCATGCAGGTGAGAAAAGGAAAAACTGACTTACTGTTAAGAAATAGGCCTAAATTTGCTTAAAATACTAAATTATACTGCATAAAGTAGGCTATATTTTGTGTGTTTGAGAGAAATCACTGAACATCTCACTTAGGAAGTTAAATACTATTGCATGACACAGCTTAATCAGTCATATAGTTATTATTAATTTAATTTAGGTAGGTAATTTTACAGTTTGGGTCAAGAAGAACACGTGACAAGATTTTAATGAACTAACCCAACTTCTGTATCACATAGACGAATACAAATCTTGAAATCACTTAAGACTCATAAGTCATAATAAGGAACACTGTGTTGAACCATTGACTATTAGATACTGCAGTATACGTCCCATCTATGGACCAGTTGTAGCCAATTTGTTGTTACAAAAGAACGTAGTTGTGTGAGCCAGTCACAGAATGCGCTAGTGATTAAAAAACTCTTTATTTTCTAGCCTACCTTATTTTTGTTGTTGGTCGAGTTGATGGGTCTTAAAAGTTGCTAAAGCTCACAAAAAGTAATTTCATTATTTTAAATTGTTAAAAAAGATTGTGTATTCAACAGAAATCAGTAATTTAGATCAGCACAATCTATCGGTGGCTCATATCAACAACGACAATTTTGGTTAAAAAACTGGCTACAAGTTTCATGGAGATGGATTGTCTAGTTTTATTAATTAATAGTCAAAGGTTCAACTTTAAACCATCCGCATTTTCATGGTAGAAATTATTGTACCATGGATTAAAAGCTGAATAGATAATCTTAGACATAGTTATTAAACTCAAGCTTCTTTTTCAGTGGAATTGTTTGAAATCATCACCTTCTCCATGTTTGGTCATTTATGCTCTTTTGTTTCATTTCAGTGTAAAGGAAACCTGGTCCCTCATCAAATGCCCAAAGCCATTCAGTGCTGCAACTTCACAGACATGTGCAACCGAGACTTGCGACCGACGTTTGCGCCTCGGCCGACGGAGGCACCCCTTGATACTCCCCTCATGGAGGTTATCCCATACATCGCTCTTCTCATCTCCGTCACTGTCTGCCTCATAGCCTTCCTCATTGTTATAGCTTGCGTCTACCTCAGGTAAGCCTGTCAGTTAGTGCTCATTAGTGTCTAAGTCTATATTATTTGCCAATTTTATCTCTGAATTATCTACACTAGGACTATAACCACTTGCCTACCCAGAAATTCGTTTGGTCATTGTTTATTTGTCATTATTCTCAGATATGAAGGGTTAGGCTTATGTCACTAACTTGTAATATGTTGACGATAGTTTTTTCCCTATTCGGTAAAAAATTCCCAGGTTTAACTGTCACCCTGTATTATACAGGGTGGAGCGCGGTAATTTGCTTATTTGGGAGTGGAATAAAAAAATTATGAACATGTAGAAACTTAATTTTATATTTCACTTACATTGAACAGTAATGGAATTTACAAATTATTTTGTTTTAAATATTATATCTGGCAAATGTTGACCTTCCCGATCCACACACTGCTGCATACGTTTTCTGAAGTTCTCATGCACTTTTTCAAGCATGTCGACTGGTATTCTGGCAATCTCAGCAGCAATATTGTTCCTTAGGTCTTCCAGGGTTTTGGGACGGTTGCAATACACCTTGGACTTCAGGTAACCCCAAAGGAAAAAATCGCATGGAGCTAAGTCTGGTGAGCGTGCCGGCCAGTTCAGATCACCATTGCGAGAGATGAGCCGTTCAGGAAACATTTGCCTCAAAAGATCAATGGTAACTCTCGCTGTATGTGCAGTGGCACCATCTTGTTGAAACCATGTATCCTCTAATTGCATTGCCTCAAGTGCTGGATGGAAAAAATCCTGCAGCATAGTTAGGTAACGTTCGGCATTCACAGTTGCCGGAAAAAAGTAAGGGCCAATGATGCCTACTCGTGATAAGGCGCACCACACAGTGACGCGGTCCGAATGCAGAGGTCTCTGATGAACTTCTCTGGGGTTTGTGTCACTCCAGTACCGCATGTTTTGCTTGTTTACACACCCACTGAGATGAAAATGTGCCTCATCAGAAAAGAACACAATTGCGTCACGAGGTATGGTTGCAAGCATGTCTTCACAAGATGTTCGTCGTGTCAAATAATCCCGTGCTGACAATTGTTGGACCACACACATTTTATATGGGTGGAAATGCTGTTCACTATGGAGAATCCGGTGGAGAGAACGCCTTGAAATGCCAAGAGCAAGTGCTTGCTTCCGAGCAGAGCGTTTTGGAGATTGCAATACTGCTGCTCTAACTCGTTCGATATTTTGTGGTGTTGTAACACTCCTCGCAGGTCCTCTTCGTACAGATGACACATTCCCTGCTGTCCTGAATGCATTCACCCAATTCACAACTGATTGCCGTCCAGGAACACGTCCGCGTGGGGAAACAGCGAAACGCAAACGGAAAGCACGTTGCACTGCAATTATCGAGTAGTTATTTGAAAAATATGCTTCAACACAAAATGAACGCTCCTCACGTGTCCACTCCATGATGGCAACTCAAAATGAGCTGAAGACAAACTTCCGGTCAGTCACAACAATCATCGCCCACTTCCGCCTCTTTTTACTAACAGTGCTGCCAACCACCTGCAACTCAAAATAGCAATTTCCCGCGCTCCACCCTTTACATAGGCTTCTCCTCATCTCGTCCTGGATTAACAATTTTGAACTTATTTACAGATATAAGAAAAAAGAAGAAAGTCGACAATTTTACCTGCCAGAAAATAGAGATTACCTGTCATCATCACACACATTAAAGCATTTAATAGATCAGAGTTCTGGTTCAGGATCTGGTCTGCCATTGCTGGTAAGTATTGTTTTCAATAATTGTAGAGAGTGTATTTTTGTGACATGATACTCTATTCAGTAGGCCAGGCCTACTTTAACTTACATTACTGATAAAAATTTAAGTAAAGTACACAGATGTTAATATATTTTTGTCAGTAAGGTTAGCTTGTTGTCTCTAAAAACCAGTTTCAAAGCCATCTTCACTTAAAACATTCAGGTAACTACTATACATAGGAGTGTTTTTAGTAAACTATTTAGCTGTTATTGGGTTTTTTTAAGTGTCTCATGAGAGATGATAATAAATATATGGTGTAGGCCTGCATTACTTAGTTACATTACGGGTGGACTTGTGCTTTTAGGTGTCAAACAAAATAACTTAATGAAAAATCCTTTTCATTTTAGAGATATTAAAAAAAGAAAATTAGTAAAAACAGGTAAATAACGTAATATTTACTTGTAAATTTTATTGGTGCGAAGCTAAGTTTCTCATGGAAGATTCATTGTCCAGGTTCAGAGAACGATTGCCAAGCAGATCCAGATGGTGCAGTCTGTAGGCAAGGGAAGGTACGGAGAAGTGTGGCTGGCGCGGTGGAGAGGAGAGAAGGTGGCTGTCAAGGTTTTCTTCACTACAGAGGAGGCGAGTTGGTTCAGAGAAACTGAGATATACCAGACAGTACTCATGAGACATGAGAATATTTTGGGTAAGTAAGATGGTTGTGTAAGCTAGTGTTTCTCAACCACTGCGGTGGTATGTGGTGATATTCCAAGTACGAGTTTTATATATCAGGGTTGTTTGGGCTTCAGAATGAATTTACAGACCAGTTGCAACAGCAGGGTTCCCACGGACCTGGAAAGTCAGGGAAGATTAGGGAAAGTCAGGAAAACAGGTATAGGGTCAGGGAAAGTTTTTAAAAATAATTTTAAGCCAGGGAAATTTACTAAACACTGTTATAGATTGCGTTAATTTTTTTGATGATTAATTGATTAGGTTATTTTGAAATGAGTTAGTTGCTGAAAGATTACTTAAGTTATAAAAAAATCTGTGGTGTACATATGTAATTTTTATTAAAAGTCTTTTTGTTTTATTTACAGCTGTAAGTATTTTGAATTTGATTTCTTATTTGGTATTGTATTAATAAATACCCCCGCCACAGCAAATCTGCAGACTAAGCAAATTTTTTATTTAACTGGCTGGATTTCTACTAAATTATCCCCTTAAAATAGTTCCTATTCAAATAAGATTAATTTTAATAAGTTAGGTTTGCTACACAGAATATGATAAAGAGTGTTTTTATTAAATTTGTGATAGCTTACTGTTAAATAAATAAATTTGCTAAAACAAAAAAAAAAAATAATTCGGTTCTGGGTCTAAGTCATACCTTGTGACCTGCGTAATAGCTTGTTCCCTATATGTGAAATTCACTAAAAGGAGTTGGAAGGGTGGCTATGGGGATGATGGAGGCCATATTAAATTTCAAAAGTTTTTAAGCTATAAATACTTAAAGAAAACTCTGTACCTAAAATATGGTGTGGTCAGGGAAATTAACAGATAACGGTCAGGGAATTCACTTGAGATATTTTTGTGGGAACCCTGCCAGGTAATAGTGCACTAGATGTAACAGGACAGTATTATTTTATTAGTAGGCTATATACCGGTAAAATCTAGTTTATGTGACTGACTTAAAATAATGAGCTTGGTGCTCAGTACTTCACCCTGGGGATTTCCATTAGTTGCAAAAATTGAACAATCTCGAGAGTAGTTCATACTCATACCAAAATAATAAATAATAAACCTAATCAATTGATGATTACCTGCACGTGTAAGTGGAACATGGTGTGTGGGCATAGTTCACAGAATTTTGTCGTCTTGTGAATTGGTAATCCAGAATAATGTTTGGGAAAATTCGTATAACTTTTACAATACTATAGTCTGTTCAATAAATATTTATTTAACCCAAGCTAAATGCTTTTTCCTAAAAATATAGTCTGTTCAAAAAATTTAAGCGGTTTGAGGGGAAGTTCCCCCATTACTTTCTTGCTTAAATTTTATATTTCAGCTTATTGACATTTTAGCAAACCTCTGGTGTTGTTTTAAAGGTAGGATCAAGACGAGGGGATAGATTTCTTACCCTAAAACAGCCTAAATTTTTTGAACGGAGTGTAGTGCTAGGGTTGTAATAGTCAGTACACCAATGAAGACAATTTCAAAATGGCCATAATATTGCCCTCAGGGCATCCGAAAATAACTGGAAAATTTATGTGAATTATGATGAGTGAGATAAGTCTGTGAATTGTTTTTGATGGAGCTAGAATCGCCAATCATTTTTGGCGAGCGTATATGCATTTACAGAGTTAGGATGTATTTTATTATCTTTGTGTATAGCATCAATGAAACAGAGGTGTCAAATATAACCCGAGGGCTTGGATAATCGGGAGTGTACTGTAAACCTGTTTTAACAATTTTTGCATGATCCATGCTTGTAAAGTGTTATTAGAATAATCATGTATAGGTCTACGTATGTGTTTTCATATCTAGAATAGTAGACCTGATTAAATAAAGATAATTCTGTTTTTTTTTCTTCAAATGTCTTTTGTTTTAGGTTTCATTGCGGCTGATATAAAGGGTACAGGTTCGTGGACTCAGATGCTTCTCATCACCGACTACCATGAGTATGGGTCTCTGTACGATTATCTCCAAAATACAGGTAAGCTTAAGTTGTTTTATTGTTTTAACTGATCCAACTAAAAACACCATATTTTATATCTAGGCCCGCATTTAAAAGTGTGAATGAAAAAATACGCTGTACTCCTGATTACCTGGGATAAAGTAAAGTTGCTGAGGCTTCCTGTAAAAATACGTAAAATTGCGGTTAATCTAATTGGGCTGATCTAATTTTTGTTATGAAGAAAATTAAATCTGATTTGACGGATATATCTGTCTTATGCCCACAAAAAATGTAAGGTGGACGGATACATCCGTCTGCCGCCCATAGCAATAATCACAAAATATGAACACTGCATTATTTCTTTTTAACTTGAAAGACACCCCATTACCTCAAAAATACTTTATGGAAGGATGTATAAAAACAGGGGTTGGTGTAGTATAACGAACCCATTCTGAAAATTTGGCAAACTATAGAAAAATGTTATTGGGATAGATATTTCAAGTAGCTGTATCAAGAATCCATAAATTTTGGCATCAACACACATTACTACTTGAGATGTATTGTTGAATAGTGCTCGAGCCCAGCGGGCTGCTACGACTGGCCAAGAGTGCGTCGGGAGGCATCGCCCACCTGCACACAGAGATATTTGGCACCCACGGCAAACCTGCCATTGCCCACCGCGACATCAAGAGCCGCAACATTCTTGTCAAGAAGAACGGAGAATGTGCCATCGCAGACTTTGGTCTAGCTGTTAGATTTCTCAGGTGATCATCACATTAATTATAATTCTTAATAGTTGGCCTACTATAGGCCTAGTTCGGCCGCTTAGATAGCGACCTCCTCTAGCATTGGTTAGCATTAGCGTGCAGGACGCTATCTAAGCGGCCGAACTAAAGCAATCATCTTGTTTTTGACAGTGTTGAGTCTGTTAATGTTATGTTGTGCTTTTTGGATGTCCAATTAAAAAAAAGTACATTTAGAAATTCAAATTAAATCTTTAGTGTTATTATTTAGGTTAAATACTGTGGAAAACATAAAAAATAGTTTAAAAAGACTAATGTGAGCTACTGCAACGCTATGATGGGTGCAGCAAAAAAGAATGTAAAGTTACATGTTAATTGAGTGTATAACCACCGAACATGTTGAGTGTGCAGCAGCTGTGTCAACAGCTGTACACAGCTGAGTGCATTTCTCAACAACAATTGACAAAATATGCGCGTAGTAACATTTCGGTTTTATTTGACATTTGTATTGAATTTTTTTACCTCATGAATAATAATTTTTATTTTTTACCTCATGAATAATAATTTTTATTTAGTATAAAATTTACTTAGTGTTTAATAATGGATACCTATTAAAATGTCACCAGATTGGTTCGGAGATGAATGTGAAAATGTAGAATACAATTAAGATCCCATTTCTATTTGTCGTTGAAATAGGAATTCATTTGTACCACACATAAAATAAATAATAAAACTGGAATTTAAATTTTGAAATTGATTAGAAAATCTCACTGCTAATGCATTAAATAAAATCTGATGATGATGATGGATAGAATTGCAAATTTTATTCCTAGGTTAAAAGTTGCTGCTAGCTTTAGAATAAGCCACAGACAGAGTATATACTAATATAAATTACTGACTTTTTGTTGAATATATTGACTTTTTACCGAGGAAGTCAATTTGAAAGGTCAACTTAGTATAAGCTATGCATCTTTTATATCACATCATGACGTTAACAAAAATTATGGGAGAAAATATAGTTTTGATTTTAGATCTCTCAGGGTGTGGCTCATTCAATTATGTTTGATTAAAAATAAAAAAAATTGCTACACATGGTCCATATAGATTGGATGTTTTCTTCAGTTTCCAAAATTCAACAGTAAAATAATATGCAATATATTATATACCTTTTTCCTTAGGTTGGCCCATTCCTTTATCTATTCAATTTTACAAATTTTGTATTCCTTAATTAAATTATTTATACTGTTATAACATAACAGATAGATTCTAGATTGAATCAAGAGTATATTAGTCTACTGAAATACGTAATCACCACTGCTATCAATAAAATACATATTTATCAAACATTGTTGCTTTGAAGTATTGCCTTGGTCCAACCAATATTCTTGCTTGCAGTGATTCCAACGAGATAGACATTGCAGCCAACACCAGAGTAGGCACTCGGCGCTACATGGCTCCTGAAGTTCTGGACGAGACTCTCGACTCCAAGTCATTTGATGCTTTTAAAATGGCCGACATGTACTCACTAGGCCTTGTCTTTTGGGAGATGTGTCGGTAAGTCAAGTTAATGATACAGTATAAAGTATAAAATTGGAATTAATCTTTTTTACTTATTTATTTTTTCAGCGCAACTTGATCATTGTTGAAAAATGTTATAGTCCCTTAGTGTTTAAATCTTTATATTTATTAAACTGTTCTAGACTTCCTTTCTTGATACCTCGAGACTGGACTTGTTTAAACTTTAGGTCTGATTCATCAGTAATAAAAAATTTAAAATAAAATGAATAGGTACAGTATGTTTAAAAATCACAAATTGTCTGTGCACGGTTATAATACTAACTGTTTTAAAGTTTTGTTTTGTATTACTAAACATGTAGACTAAACATTAAGAACAAAACCAAACTGAACATGAATATTTAACATGGTTGACCGCTGAATAAAAGATAAAATTTACTCATCTCTAAAGTCTAGTCACTCATCTAGTTACGGTAACAAACAACTTGGTGTTAGTATATGTATAAACAATCAAGGCACCCTTATTAATAGAGAGGTGCCATGTACATGCATAATGACTAACTACATAATACATAACGGCAACTGAGGTACATGTATAACTAAACCAAATATTAACCTAAAAATGGAGGATGGGTTGCTTGACGTAGTAAAGTAAGAGGGTTTGTTTGAGATATTGCTTCACTTTAAAAACAGCAAAGAGTGTTTTGGCGCTTGCCCACATTTCAACCATACTTGTCTTTTGTAAAAATCTCGGACATTTTTCACATTTCATTTATGGAAACAACATAATACATTTTTTGTCCGTAAATGGTACATTCAATATCAAAATGGCCAAACTAAACCTTCCAAAGTTTGGTCGTAGCAAAACAAAAACCTACATCACTTGTAAAACCACATTCTAAGCAGAGTGTCTAGTAGTCGGGAAAATCGGGAAGGTCGGGAATTAGTATTGAATTTCAAAATGGTCTTGAAAAGTCGGGATTTAGTCTTAAATTTGATTTCAAAGTCGGGAATTTTCATGATTTTGCCGCGATCGTCGTCTTGCGTTTACGTAACCGCAAAAGCCAATGATGATGTCTACACGGCCTCAGGAAATGTTCACGATTTTTCCGCGATAGTGGACGACGACGATGACGTTTCCGAAACCACGAGAGACCACGATGACGTTTCTGTGACAGCGGGAGACTACGATGACGTTTCCGTGACCGCGGGAGACGACGATGACGTTTCCTTGAACGCGGGAGACGACAATGATGCCTACACGGCCGCGGGAAAGGTTCATGATTTTGCCGTGATCGCGGACGACGACGATACCGTTCCCGTGACCGCGGGAGATGACGGTGACGTTTCCGTGACCGCGGGAGATGACGGTGATGTCTAAACAGCCACGGGAAATGTTCACGATTTTGCCGCGATCGCGGTCGACGACGATGACGTTTCCGTGACTGCGGGAGACGACGATAATATCTGCTCGGCCGCGGGAAATGTTAATGATTTTGCCGCGATCGTGGACGACGACGATGACGATTCCGTGACCGCGGGAGACGACGATGATATCTGCTCGGCCGCGGGAAATGTTCATGATTTTGTCACGATCGCGGACGACGACGATGACGTTTCTGTGACCGCGGGAGATGACGATGACGTTTCTGTGACCGCGGGAGACGAGGATGATGTCTACACGGCCGCGGGAAATGTCCATGATTTTGCCGTGACCGCGGGAGATGACGGTGATCTCTAAACAGCCGCGGGAAATGTTCATGATTTTGCCGCGATCGTGGACGACGACGATGACGTTTCCGTGACCGCGGTTGATGACGATGACGTTTCCGTGACCGCGGGAGACGACGATGACGTTTCCGTGACCACGGGAGACGACGATGATGTCTACACGGCCGTGGGAAATGTTCATGATTTTGCCGCGATCGCGGACGATGACGATGACGTTTCTGAGTCCTCGGGAGACGACGATGATGTCATTGATGTCTACAAGGCCGCGGGAAATGTTCATGATTTTGCCGTGATCGCGGACGACAACGATCAAGTTTCTGTAACCGCTGTAGTCAATGATGATGTCTAAACGTACGGTACGTGGAAGATTTCATGATAAAAAAAAACCAAATTTGCTAGTTAGAACTTTTTATTGCTGCATTATTTCTTTACTTGAAAACACCACATTATCATAATACTACTTTATGACAAAGACAGGGGTTGGTGTAGTATTATTCAGAAAATTTGGTTAAGCTATAAAAATTGGTATTGGTATCAAGAATCGTGAATCGATACATTTTGGTATCAACACCCACTAATTGTTGAAAAAACTAGTCTTGAGAAATCTGGAATTAGTCTTGAATTTTATAATGGAAATAAACTAGACACCCTGTCTAAGTCTCCTTTAATCTTAAAATGGGAGATTTTCACTCCACCACTCTACAAGTCACACCTGGTTCCGAGTAACTTTGACTTGTTTTGGGCACCAAAACAAAGACTAGTTCAGGCCCACAGCGCTTTGATCACGACAAAGACCTTCAATTGTGTCTCATCGGGGGACTGAGCTCGTAAGCGGAGGAGTTTTACGACAAAGGAATTTTAAACACGACCATCTCTTGATGAATGCATAAATTTGTTTACCTTTACATGCTTACGTTGATTTATTTTCTTGTGCTAACTTTTCATTTTGTTCCAAAACCTTCCTTACATCCTGAACAGCCCTTCTACTTCTCTTTAGGTGCAAAGCTTATGCTGTGAAATGTTTTTGATGATCACCTCACACGGATTTGATATTTAATTAACTGTGTCACTGTAGGAGATGTGCCACCAAGGGAGGAAGTGACAAATGGAACCTGCAGGTGGAAGATTTTGCTGTGCCTTACTACGATGTTGTACCCAACGACCCCTCGTTTGAAGATATGCTGGAGGTAGTTTGTGTCCAGAAACTTCGCCCGCCTGTCCCTCTTCGCTGGCATTCCCATGAGGTAAGATTGTTACTTTTTCACTTAGCTTTTCACCAAAACATGAATATAGCGCTCATTATCATCGTATACCACGATAATGGCCAAATTCTGAATATCTCCTGTTATCTTGTTGACATCAACATCGTATCCCACAATCACAGAAGTGTTGCTACTGTCCTCCCCCCATCACGAAAAAAGCGTGTATTTTATGCAAAGACTTTTATCATTGTAGTGCGGGAATGGGAGCTGTGAAGACGTTGCAATAATGTGACACAATCGCAGGAAGATGTGTTAAAAAAGAAGACTGCTAAAAAGTGGTAAAACCAAAACCAACTTTAAAAACCAACCCTCTTGATACATTGTGTTGTGTTGAAGGTACTGAATGATCATGCAGGAGTGTTGGCACCAGAACCCTCTCGTCAGACTCACCTCACTGAGAGTCAAGAAGACATTGTGGAGGCTCAATTCTGACTGTGACAGTGACACGTTGTATTGTATCTAAACATTGTGTTGTGTTGAAGGTGCTGAGGACACTGGCCATGATCATGCAGGAGTGTTGGCACCAGAACCCTCACGTCAGACTCACCTCACTGAGAGTCAAGAAGACATTGTGGAGGCTCAATTCTGACTCTGATCCCAATATCAAAATTATTTAGTATATCAGGTTTATTTTGAAAAAAAGGTACTTCTATTATTTTTAAGAATTTAGTATTAACACGGTCATTGTAATGTCCCTAACCATATCTGGTGTATTAACAATAACAATGTAAATTAAGGTTATTTTTTGTATCGATACAAGGCCTATTCCAGATCATCGGGTGTGTGATACCTATGGTCCAGTGGGGTTGTCTATTGTTTTATAAAACTACGGTAACTGACTCTGTGATAAATGGAAGCACATTTTGAAATAGCGGTTGATCTGCATATTTATTCTGTTGTAAGAATACGGCACAAGTTGTTACAGCACAAAGATCTTGTTTTATATTTGCATTGTTGTTCAATTCTGTATATTGCTATCAGCTTTAGAAAATGTAGAAAGCAAACCCTACGATAATGAAAATCCTCTTTTGTAATTAATTTAACTGTGTTATTTGTATATTTGACTATTGAAAAAAGTTTTGAAGAATTTTGTTTACTGAATGAAGGGAAGGTAAATTAAAAAATATAGATTTGTTAATATTTCAGAATGTAGTTTTTCAACAATGGTGATCATATTTTAAAATTTAATTTTTAAGGGATGGAAAAGCAAGAATAAACTCTTTTGCTATTATTTTCTTTGCTATAGCATAAATGAATATACTTAGGTTGGGGAAAATGCTTTAAGAAAATTTTAAATCTGTTAATCAGGTTTTCAGTTTTCAACTTAGACCATTGTAATTTAAGATTGGAAATAAAATTAATAAGGTAGTTCATGGTGATGAATGATGTACTATTTTTAGTATTGGTTTTGGTATCTAAAATTATTTTCTGATAGCCTTTATCTGCACAACACTATTCTTGATTACCTAATGGTTTTGTATGAAAAAGTCACATGTTAACCATTCTATCAATCTCAGAGGGCAATCAATTTTATTCTTTTTTCTCTTGTTAGCCCTAGGTATTACTTTTTTTTACTTTACTTACTTTCTTATTGCAATAAAACAAACAGTTGAACTCTGGGTCCCGATGCATCAACTCAGGCTTATTGTGCTTAAAAAAAAACGAACGGTAAAAGAACTGTTGATTAAGAAATTCCAAACGAATAGTTCATCAATCATATAAACATCGTAACATTCCAAGCATTGCCAAATGCGTTATCTGAATATCATTCAGTCCAGTTCAGCCAATAATCTCCTGTCTTACGAGTCTGCGACTCAGAGGGGTGATAATAAAGAATCCTTTGACCCAACGATCATGTGTGACAATGGTGTGATTTCATTTTTGTACCGGAACAACAGGGTGCCAAAAAGCAGATGGAACTGCCATTTATGCCACAAGCACGACCATTGCTGTAGGTATGAAATCCATGCTTGATTTGGAAAAGCACAAGCTGCGAAATGAAAGAAAAAATATATGTCTGTGTCTGCGGGAACATCCTGTGGGAAACCAAGTCAGCCTGGTCCTAGTGGATCATCCTAAGGCTCAATGGACACAGGTATTCTTCTGGTTGTTTCTGGCTGGTGCTTGGTGGAACAACATGCTTTGAGATGATCTGGGGATTGCTCCTCTTTAAACATCAGCTGATACAGTAATAATAATTAAAAATACCCCATCCAGACATATAGTTTTCATTCCAAGGCTTCATTGCTTTTCCAAATCAAGCAGGGATTTCACAATTTTGCAGCATAAATGGCAGTACCACATGCCCTCTGGTACCTTGATACGTAACACAAGCACAATAAAAATAAAGCCAACACCATGGTATATAGGTGACTGTAACACATTATCTTTGGACCACATAACAACAATTTTTAGGCTCATCAGGCCTTGGAGAACAGGCTGGGATCATAGGATGGAGCTTTGGAACTGGCACCATTTCACAATTGGTCTCAGAACTATTCTAGAGATGCAGCCTCCTCTATACCTTCCTTTACTCTTCTTTCTTTCAAACTTTTAGATGATTTGAGAATTGCTCCTCTTCTTTAAATATAGCAGCTTGCATTTTATATTTATTAGAAAGGTCTTAATCGACAGTAGATTTATAAAGTAACTAAAGTCTCTAAAAAATTAAAACCACCAAATTTTAATCTATTTTTGCCATGGATAATATAATAATACATTTTGTTTAGTTTTCAATTGAAAACATTTTAAAATGTACTTCTACATATTGTATCTATTTAGTCCCAGTTAAATTAGTAAGAGTCAAAACTTAATTTTGACTGTGCAGATGAGCAATAACATGTAAAAGCATAAAAAAATAAAAATGCATGACTTTCAAGTATTTAATTAAACCAATATCAAACTATTTTTTCTTCGACCAAATCATGTAGATTTAAGTTTTTTTTTATTACCAGACATATTTTTTTACTTTAATACCAGGTTTTATAGAAAACAAAATCAATCCTCTGTAGATTATATAAACAAATATTGGCTACGTTCCAAAAGCAGCATAATACTTTAATAACCAAGGATTTTATAAGGCTATTGACTAGTAAATATACATGTGTATTATTCCCATATTTTAAATTAGAATAAGTTTTCAACTGTGAGAGAAAATGTTTTATATTTTCTGCTATGTGCAGCAGGGTATCACATATTGTAATAATTGAAAACATAATCAAATATCATATCTGTGTATTCCAAGAATTGTATGGAAATGTACAACTATCATAGGTTTACTTTGAAGTTTTGTTATTATTCAATAAATAGTTTAGAGTTTATGTAATAAACGACGATGAGAACCGACATTTCGTTTGCTATGCATATCAGAAGTCAATGGTATCAAGTTTTAAGGTGCCTTACAAGGCACACTGTTTTGTTTACGAAATGGGTAGTAAATTTATTACATTATTTTATATTTATAACTTTGCTCAATCTGCTTTATGTATAAAATAGATTTATAGCAATATATAGTTCTGAAAACAGTATTTGTTATTTTAAAGGTTATAGATAATGTTAAACATGTATATATATATTAAAATCAGTGTCCTTTTAATTTTGAACTTTTCTTTAGTCCTTATACGTCCAGGATTAAGGGGGTTGGTTGCTTTCAAGAAATGCATGGGGTACAGTTAGATTCACAACATAACTTGGATATTTTACTCATGATGGGTAAACAGTTGAAGCTACATTTATCTATGGATGGCTGGACATAACTATTGGCAACCAAAGACAAATGAGTTAACATTAACACTGTCTTGACCAAGCCAGTGTTGTATCTGGACACCGTGTCTCTAGTTGGGCTCAAAGTAGACTTACCACTTTGCACTAGAAACTCCTCAGCACCGAGCATCGCTCTTTCTCACTCAACTCTGTTCTCCGTGATTGTTTTTAAATAAATCGTCACAGCCTTCTGGTACTCTACTTTTTTACTAGTGACTTGTATACATGCATCTAGGTAGGGCTGGCATCAGATAGGCGAGGGATCAGTTAAAGCTGAAATGTGTTGGAGTGAGAAACACGGGTTTAAGGTCATTCAGCTCCCAATCTAGTCGCCATCATGCCGCTGTAGACGAAAGATCATTGCATGTTGACATACGATGCTTTTTTAAAAAGTGGTGAGTCAACTGTGAAACTCAACATGGTGGATCTAAAGTGAAAACTCAACAATATTTTAGACATTACTTTCGTATTGGTCGTCATGGTGAACTTCCGAGTCAGAATACTTTTTTAAGGTGGGCTTCTTATTTAGAACTAAAGGGTCAGTTGCGAAAACAAAAATAAAAGGAACACAGTTTAGTGTGTTCTAGGAAAATGAGGATTGTATGTGCCATCAATCTTTGAAGAAAAGGAACTCTTGTCATTGTTAATTCTTCTGCACGATACATGAACATGATAAGAGACTTTTTCATTCCCGAACTTAAAGGGTAGAAAATCTACATCAAGAACATATATTTTCAACAAGATGGGGCAACTGCTTACACAGCCAGTGCTTCTATGACAGCATTTTGAATGTTATTTCCTGGGCAAGAGATGTCATGGTTTGGTGATGTGTGACTACCGCGTTCACCGGACTTGTCAATGAATGACTTTTCCCTATGGAGTCACATGAAGACAGAAAAAGAAAAACCATGTACTCTGGAAGAATTTAAGGCCGCAATCAGGAGCTAAATTAAACTTATCAATCAATAGTTACTGAACAATGTGGAACGTTTTTCGCAAGGCTTGAAAATATGTGTCGGTTTCAACGGCCGAAGTTTGAATGAGGTAATTTTCAAAACTTAAAATAAGGTATTTTATTTTGTAAATGGTATAACTTTTGCTTCATTTCTATGTCAATAAAACTTAAAGAGCAATCGCTTTTTTAAATATATCCGTTTCCCATGGACCACCCTCTACTAACTTGAAAAATAAAATATAACAGTGGTACTGTAGCTAGCTGTCTTGTCTATATAAGTAATACAATAAGGGCATTTTCTGTATCATCCCTTTTTCAGTCCTCCTACAAACAGATTTTTATGATTAAGATGTCATTTTAATCTCACTAGAGGTCGGCCCGAGGTCTTGACCAAAAATATGTACTGTGTAAACTTTTCTATTTTCACCCCACACTGTAAATAAAGCATGTGATTGGAATTTCTCCCATTTGTTTTGTTTTTCTGTTTATATTTCGTCACCAGCATGGCAACCCATAAAACCCATGTTAATTTTTTTTAATTACAATTCATTTTTTGTGCTTATTTTTGAGCCCATTTTAAATTTATAAAGGGATTATGCTCATCCACTGGAAAATATCTTTCTAACAGTATGGGTAGATTTTCCCTGCGATGCACACGAGCCAAGAAAAAAGGTTTTCAAGAAACATCGCCTATTAATATATCTTCTATATATATAAAATCCAATGTTTGTATGTTTGTTGTTTGTTTGTCCTTTATGGACTCCAAAACCGCTCGACAGATTGTAATGAAACTTTCAGGCATTATTAAGCGTTATTCAAGGATGGTTTGTGTGAAGTTTGGTGCAGATCCGTCAAAAGGGCTCCGCCCAAGTGGCTCTGGAGTTTCCCATGTTAACCTTGTGAGTACTCATATTTGAATGGAATTAAACAATCTTAACAGCTGGTTCAACTAAACAATTTGATTCTGTGATGTTCAATAGCATTAAAAAAATAATAGGTTTACCAACAGGGTGCAGCATTATTATTATTTTTTTTTAAATTTATTACAACAGCTAATTTGCAACCAAAAGGTGAGTGAGCGTAGCGAACGAACTTCAACCTGGAGGCGAGTTAGCGTAGCGAACGAGCTAACCTGAAGGCAAGTGAGCACAGCGAACCAGCTCCAACCTAAAGGTGAGTGAGCGTAGCGATCGAACTTCAACCAGGACGTGATTGAGCCATGCGAAAGAGCTCATCTTGAAAATGAACGAGCATTTGACATAAAACCACATTAGGACAGGACGACGTCTGTCGGGCCAGCTAGTAGATGATACAGCAATGTGACGAATGGTAACAAAAAGGGTAATTTCCTTTAATAGAACTTCGACCCCCTAGCGTTTATTTACTTCATAATGTTTACTTCCAATGATCCAGTGATGCTGATAAGCTTCCACAGTAATGGTTTGTCAGTTAAATGCTAAATCACTGTCAGATTTTAAACAAAAGTCAAAACAGTGAATGAAAATAATGGATTTTAAATAGCCGAGGCTACTGTCAGTGATTACTAATTAATCGTAACCCGATTTTAAGTAAATTACTAGTATATATATGTCTACTCTCAAAAAATTTATTTTTTTGTAAAATAATAATTTTGTTCACTTAAAACTTAAGCTGTGTCTTCCTAGGTGCGGAGTGCAGGGAAGGGATTTTCTGCTGGTCCAGTGGTAGTCCGCTCTAGGCTTCTTCTTTGAGACAAGAAGAGAGGATGAACTCCGTTACTGCGCCTAAGTAAGAAAACCTACTTTTACTTTTCAAATCTAATCTTATAGTATTCTTTAAAATGTAAAAGGGTACCGGTATTGCATTATTCGATTTACCTAAGAAAAAAGTTCTGAACTGTAATACAAATTTGCAATTTGCTCACGTTTCCCCCTTTAATTAATTATACAGGGAGTCCCGGAACTCTCCAATAATTAGGGCATTTCTCCTAAGTAAAGAAACATATCTAAATATCATATTTAAATTGTTCGGAAGTCCTTAGTTACTCACACAGCCGCCATTTTGGGTTTTCACTTATTAATTTTTTTCTAAAAAGTGTTTAAAGGTATGAAATTGAAACTTTGCACAAATATTTATGACAACTAGACAAATCCACAAGAAAATTATGAACATTTTCCAAATTCATAAAACAAAATGGTGGCCATTTAAAAAACTTGTTTCTTAAATAACTCAAAAACTGTTGAGTTTTTATTTTAACTACAAAAATTACTCAAGTTATCGCGTCTACGCACGTATATATCAAAATAAAAAACAATATCGGTCCCAGGTCTAGGTCTTAAAGTGCTCTATAGGGAAATTCGCTAAAAATTTAATTTCTCATGTCTAGTAAGGTTGTTCAACACTTATTTACAGTTATGATTTATTAACGATAACACTTGACATTGCCATTACACATACACTAGACACAGAGGAACTTGAGTTTGATCACAGAAGTTGTCCTACTGGTCACGTAGAACAGAGTTGGTTCAGCTCTTTGACTCGCTCTTCTAGTAGAGTTATCATGTCTGGTTCATGTTTCAGAATCTTGGTTGCCTCTTGTAGCAACTCGGTTACTTCTTTTAGGAGCTCCTGAAAAATAATCTGCATGAGCCATAGTAAGTAATATACTTGGTGTAGTTTGTGAAGAATTTAATCTTAGTTTTAACATGAACTTTATAAATAAGATATTCCTAAGGAAAAAGATAAGTTGTAGATTTAAAAGTTATCTCATTTTGTTGGAAAAATACATTTAGTTTGTCTAAGAATATTTGAGTACCCAGATGAATTGACAAACAATGGTCTTTTTGCATACCAGTATTAAATCCTCTAGTGCACCCTCATAGTCTTCTTATGTCTTCTGAATATTTTTGTATTTTTCTTTAGTATTCAATAATTTATACAAACCACTTCTTAGTTTCATAATGCACAGAATCAAAGAGTTGGACACTTTTTATATTTCGGGTTTCCTTGTGACCTGATTATGTTGGGACTTAACTGTACTGTAGTGTACTGTTATTGTTAATAAAAAAACACAATCATGATTAATAATATCACAAACCTGAGCTTTGTCTTTGGTGATAAGGTCTTTCTCAAACTCCGCCTTGACCTTGACGACCTTTATTGCTTGAAGATCGTACAGCAAGGTGCCTCGGAACCTGGTCATTCCTGGGTCTAGTTTATCAGCCAACTCCAGCAAGTCATTGCAAATAGACTCTGCGTAGTCCAGCTGTTCTGATGATAACTCTGTAAAAAGAAATGTTTACATTTGAATGGTAAAAAGATAGGAATTTCAATTAGTTTTGTTAGAAAAAATCCAACTTGAAGAGAGTGACGTCTTGTGGTTTCAAGACTATTATTTCAAAAGGTATCCAAGCTACTTGTCATGTATTGTTTTAGAATCTTCTTACAGAGTTTCACAAGAATTCATGGAGTATAATACTCCTGTGCAAAATTATCAGTAGGGCTATATGTTAACACGTTCACTGCGGCATACACCAAACAGGTGCTCGCCAATGGCGCCGATGCACGGGCAAAGCCCCGGCACGTCACCGAATCAGCGATCGCAATTGGCATTAAAATATTTCAGTATGAAGAATCACAAAAGAGCAGCAGTGATTGTGCTGCGTTGCCGTGAGAGTAGATGTAGTTCACAGAAACTCCCAAAGGAAGCTGCACTGACAGGATCCGTAGCCAGTGTCTTTGTAATGTGGCTTGAAAAGAGAATATTCCCAAAACCGGGACTAAAGCATTGGCAGACGGGATTTCACAGGAAATTTTAGTATCAACCTACATCAAAATAAAGCTTGCTTCCAAGCTACAGGCTGGCAACAATTATAACGTTCCTCTGGCAACAACGGAGC